TTTGGAAAAATAAGTTTTAAAAAATACCTATGCAATTCGCGGTAAAATTAAAATTGTTGATTACGTTCCTGGTAACATTTATGAAGACTTTACTTGCACCATTCTGTATCTTTCTTCTTCGTAGATTAAACATTAGGAAAATGTGTACATTGATATGAAATTTCGATTCTCTGACATGCTAGAGATGAATAGTTCACATCGGATGATGGATCCATTTGGGGTAACTGCAGTTGGTTTGGACATCGCGTTACAGAAATGCAGGATAATTTAACAGCTTAAGATAGATTGCTAAAGAAAGTGCCCGGGGTGCTAATAAAATTGAAGAAAGAATTTTCTTGCATCGCCGTTTCAATATTGTGAACAGAGGGATTACAAGCGTTGCAATAATATAAGGTGCTTTTAAACGATACAACCTGAAATATTCTGACATTATTTAGAACAGTAATTCCGTAGAATAGCACAAAGGAATCAAGGTGAGAGGATGAGATTCAACAAATTATTACATCATGATATCTAAAAACTAAAAATGTCCATTAAAAACTCGACAGTTTATGTTATTTGTTGTAACGTAGAAACGCGTACATATACTCGACATCGTTTAAACAGTTTGTACAATGATATATGAATGTGCATTGCAAAATGCAGAGTAAAAGCGATACAGCGTTTGCGTTACGCTTTTGTCGGCCATTTGGTTATCCGATAAATGCACTATTCAGATCATACATCGACGTGTCAGTTGAAGCTCGAAAAGGGCATAATTCGTTGAAAATACTGACTCCGTTTCTGACCTCATAATATAAATTTATAAGTACTATTAATCATTATCTTTCCTAATATCGTTAAAATACTAAAGTACGTATTTCATGGATCAATCTAACAAAATATTCTCCCACTTCTTATATCCAGAGTTATTTATTTAACATAAATATTCTAACAAGTTATTCTGCACAGTAACTCTAAACGTACGTTACACACAACATTCAGTGAGCGATATTTGTGTACACGAGCGAGAGAAGTACGATCGAGAGCTCTTTACATATGCGACCAAGGATGTACACACATAAGCGTCGATTTGTGTGCACGGGCGCTATATTTCGCCGATAACGATATTGACAGTGATTAGAACATTCGATTAGAACTGCATCGTACCAGCGAAATCGATTGTTATTTCTGCCCACGATGTGTTCATTCCTTGGAACTTCGGTTGAATTTATTAGGTATACGTACGTTCTTGCAACAATAAGTGATTTTTCTTTCTTAACCATCCGCACACGTTCGAACGAAAACAAGATAAGAGCAACGGCACTCCTCACCCCCCCTGCGGTACGAACAATAGATATCACGATTGCATCAGCAAAACTTCAAATCGATCTCGACGGACAAGGCTTTCAACGAGGGAATAAGGCAAAAGGGCCAAGACGACGAAAAGGAAAGAGCGTACGGGCAGAGCCAGAAAATTGTAGGTAGGAACGTGGGAACCGAAAGAATCGAAAAGAATTCGGAGGAAGAACAAAGATGATAAAATGTCGACAGGAGCGTGCAATCAATCAAGGATACGTACAGTCAAGGTCACGTTTCGAGCCTCGAACGTACATAAAAATTTATCACAAAAAAATTAAAACAAAGAATAATCATTAATTTAAAATTAAACATCTGTAGGTTTTTCTACCATTTCTGTCCAATCTCTATGAACGACGCGCCAATGCAATATTTTGTCGGCCACAAGAGATTAGGTGATTGCGACGCGGAGCAATAATGTGTTAACACAATATTTACGAGCTCCTCTTGTATCTCAACTCGAAGGGGCTAATGCCGCGTGAAAGAAGGGATTAGACCGGAATTTATGAAAAAGAACGAGCACGGGTCAAAGAATCGAGAAGAGGGACGGAAAACGGAGGCTCGGATGAAAGAAAGTTACGACTGACAATTTGCAGACGCGTGGACAGCAAGAATGGCGGATCGAGGGGTCTTCGATGAGGCTATAGAAAAGCACGGACGAGCATCAGGAGTAAGTAGAAGAGCAAAGGATACCTCCACAGGTGAAAAGAAAGGCAGTGGCAGTTACAGCGATGGGTGATAGCGGCGTGGGATATCGATGGTGGTGAGTTAAGGTTAGGTTCAAGTGTGTGCAGAAGCGAGGCAGGACGCTACTCGTTTGCAGGATACCGACGGCGTGTGTGCCAACGATGGTGAACGCGCCCGGACATCGATACAGCTCCGCCGCCACTTTGCCCCTGATCCTCTCTGACCCTCTCTGATTCCCGCCACCCTCTTGCACACGCACGTATATACACCACAATCACAGTCTCGTATACTCGTTCGCGTACCATTAACTCCAGCAACAGAACCTACCTCTATCTTGTTCTGTCTCTGCTTCATCCATATTCGTTTACCTTTCTCTCTAACTGTCTCTGTCACCAGCGCACGGTAAACGAGCGTGCCGTGCACCTTCTCCTTTCGCCTTCTGTTTCTCGATAGCTCCGTCGATCTGCTATCTTTCCCAGTTACTTGTCCCTTAATCCGTGTGTTGATCAAAATGTTCACGATCGTTAAAAAACCGGGGTTTCCGGGTGTTCCAAGTGTTCTGTTTTCATCGATCAAAAGCATAGGGATTTCTTCTTGTTATTTATATATTTGAGAATTTTGAGAGCGACTGGCACACCTAAAACAATTTTTTACCAGATTATTAATACTCCAATTACTGTCAGGACAAAAGACTCAACTACTGTACTCAAACTCGACAATACTACATGCTTCTACAAATGAAAACGTATTATACAGAGTGTTCGACCACCCCTGGGAAAAATTTTAATGGGAGATTCTGGAGGTAAAAATAAGACGAAAATCAAGAATGCCAATATGTTGATTGAGACTTCGTTAAAAAGTTATTAACGTTTAAAGTTACGCCTGTAGAACGGCAACCTGCGAACAGTTGCGTACACGCGACAGTGGTTCTCACTCAAAAAACTGTAAGACTGTCGATGAGTCAGTAAGTAGAGTTTCTCATGCTGAGTAAGGACCACTATCGCATGCGCGCAGATTGCCGTTCTACAGGCGTAACTTTAAACGTTAATAACTTTTTAACGAAGCCTCCATCAACAAATTGACATTCTTAATTTTCGTCTTATTTTTACCTCCAGAATCTCCCATTAAAATGTCTCCCAGGGGTGGTCGAACACCCTGTATACTGTAGTGTTACAAATACAATGTATAATGGCTTTGTTTCGAGCCGTTTAATACACAACGTCGTTACTTTCTACGAGTATCTGCGTAAGTACGCTTGGAAAATAGATGTATAGGGAACTGCTTACAGCAGTGGCGAACCAATGCAGTAATCCGTTGTTGTACTCTCTTTATACGTGTCATACAGAAATTCACTGTATAATAGCGATACGCCGATATTCCAGGAAACTCCCCGAGCATCGTTATCTCCGCGAGCATGGATTTTCTATCCTATGATCGTTTAATATCCCTCAAGTGCCTATATAACTGGTACTCGTGGCTCATTGTCCTGAATAAACGGCAGATCGAACGTGGTTTCGACGTAAGCTTCGGTAATTCGATCCGGCGACTTTGTACGTCAACTCGTTAAGCCGTCTTAAAGCATTGTTTTAGGTGGATAGAGCGACGGCTTTTCGGTTCGTAACCGCAACTTACTTTCAACCTCGCTGCACCACACGGAATTCTTTCGATTTTCATCGTTTTTTATTACAAAGAAGCACGATTTACGCCTAGCAGTCGTATCACAATAATGTATTTGATGAATTTCAGACTGGTTGGTTTTGAAATTGTTTTACGAATAAATACCCACCTGGAGCACTTGTAGACACCCACTGGAATGTAGAAGAATATGCACTTACAACCACCTAAAGAAAAAGTAGAAAAAAGATCATAAAATAATCAACTTTTATTAAAACTTTGGGGTTCCATATAATGTAACTAAACTCAGTGAAAACTGAACAAGAAACGAAGAAAATACTTTCTTTTTTTATTTATCCCATTATCCAGGGTACAGAATACAGAACCAATATACGACGTAACCAGATCCTTTTGGGTAATACGAACTAGTGTAATATAAATCTGAAATTCAACAAGCAGTGTTGAAAACAAATTGTATGAATGCATATTTTAAATATATACTCACATTTTATCCTAGACGACGGAGTGCAAAACCAATAAATAGTCTTGTTTACTATTGTGAGCTGAGACGTTGGTAGTCGGTACGGTCGCGGGAGTAAAATGAGCAATGGCTTGCTCTGCTTGTCCCTACCTTTGACGCTTTCGAAACCTCCAAACATGACAGACGTTTATATAGTAGACTTCTAATATCTTCTAAATACGAAAATCCTACAAATATGATTATTTTCAATTATGTCTCATAAAATTGAGCGAGGCACAAATATGAAAAGATGAATTTACTTTTCTCCGAGAAAATAACAACGTTCCACTACGGATGGTTATTTCCGGCAGAGACCCGAGAGTTTCGTAAACGGCAAAGTAGACAGAGAGGTCGGAAATTGGTAAACGATTAAACCCAGCTGCATTTGCGTAATGCACACAAAGCATTCAGAGATTTTATCGTTCAGGAAATACGTGTACGGACCGTAGATAGATATCTGAGAGTCCGTGAACTTGCACGTAGAAATTTTAAATATTCATTGCATATACATTAAACTAAAATAAATATCGTAGAAATTGCAAGCTTTCTCAGCTAAACTGTTGATATAGAAGAGAAACGTAGAAGTTTGAGGTATTTGAAAACTTTCAGATGCTGATAGTTGTACTTTGCTAAGGCTTCGTTGAAATCCAAAATTCTCTAGCGATATCCTTCTTAAGAAACACATTTTTTCAAACACCTGAAAACACAGAACTCTTAACAATTATTTTTTTTTTATTTCGATGACAAACAGTATATGTATCCACGTATCTATATATATAAGTTGCGATAGGACGACGAAGAAATGACTGCCGCATCAATTACAAATTGTCTGTATATTTGACTTTACTAATAATAATGATAGTAGTAATCTTAATCATTATAATCATAATACACCGCATGATGATGGTCATAATGACATACGGATAGATATAATAATCGCAATCATAAACTACAGCAATAATAATTATTATAATATTAAGAAATCATCACTACCATCTTTGGGAAATAATGTGCAAGACGATCAAGTAAAGATAATGGATGGAACATAGAAGTACGCAAAGGAACCGAAAGAGACGAAGGAATAAGAAAAATTCTTGCACAAAAAATTAATTCGTGAATCTGTTTAAGATAGTAATTAGTATTACTGTTATAATATTAGAGTTCGTGTCATTCGTAAATAATCGTCCATACTTGTAGTTCATTCGCCGAATATTCTCCCTCTCTTTTATTCACACACGCGCGCGCACTCGAAGCTCGCTTCTTGATCTAGGTTCTTTTTTTTTTTCTTCTATTTCAGCAGAATAGAAATCTTTTTCTCATTCAAAAAACAGTCTTTCATTGCACTTGTAGGACGTCCTCCTCTTTGCACCTACTTGAACCGAATCTATTTTACTACGTCTTACCGTTCAAAATATTGCAAATTATTATAGCATCTGTAAATTAACCATTCTATTTTAATATATCCGTAAAAAGCTTTGAAACGCATGCTTGAGAACAAATGAGCATGTCGTATTATCCGTTTATCACATATCACGTCATATATTTATATACAAATAAATAAATGAGTGCACATCACGTATTTATTTAAAAAATTCGAAAATCACTTTCGTTAACGTATTATTGCTACAAATTTCTTACTCCTTATTTCCAACGATATACGGACAAACATGTATTCGATAAGTTTTTTTGGTATAAAAAAGAGAAAATGTGACTTGTAATTCGTACTCAAAAATTATTCAACAATTTTCTACAACTAATTGTTCATGATTGTACAACATTTTAAATTGCAAATATGAACTATTTTTGTCTAATATACATGGTACAATACGCAATTCATAATATATTTAAAATTTACATGAATCGTAAAAACACAATTATAGGGAGCATATGGCCTTGAAAAATGCAATTTAAATTGGATTATTATTACAATGCAAAATATCTTGAGAAATATCTTCAGACTATATGTTGAACAGTTCAAACTAAAATTATATTTAGCAGAAAGTTCTGTGAAAATCTTACGACCATTCATAGTAGTATGTGTTGCTAAATAGTAAATAAGTCAGAACGTTAACAACTTCTTCAAATACGCTAGAATTTGTTCCTATGCTCTGTTTTAGTTATAAATCTCGCGAGTCAAATCTAGTCAGTCATAAGATAGTCCAACACAATCGGCAAGACTATTCTATTACGAGTTAAGTTTTAATGCATTGATATGCGAAATTATAAATTTTTTTTTGATTCGCATACGTCATTAAATGAATAAGAAGTAGGAAGAGGAAGACCATCCTTTTCCTGTGCGCATTGCCTTATCAAGTTATAAATTCTTTATAAAAGCTGAAGGCGTTTTTGCGTTCGCCTACATTAATCGTCAAGAATAAACGACGCCATGACTATACCAGTACGAACATCTTTCGCAAAGAAGAAAGTGTAAAATAAACGTACGATATATACTTGTAAATACCTTAAAAATGAAAATGTTTTTTTTTTTTTTGCATTCTTATCATTATACGTGTCAAAAAATCTTAATATAAATCTATTAATTGTAATAATGCAATTTATCCGACGCCATGCATTATATCGCCATATCATCATCGTCATCTCGAATTGCAGGAATCAACGTATAAGTCCTTTGACTACTATGAACTATACAATTAATAACATCAGCAATTATTCCCCTCATCTTTAATTTCAGTTCACCGCTATTTTCTTTCGATACCTTGTCATCAAAGAAAGAAAAGAAACGAACGAACATTCTTCACTCAGAAGACTCTCCTAACGAAAACATCATGCGATAACATACGTAATTACAATTAACTGTATTCCATGGAAGCGATCACTTTCAAATAAATTGAAATTACGTCCAATGCCTTTATAAAAAAATACAAGATTCAATGGAAAATAATTTTAAAAAACATACACTGTACATTCTCCATTAATCTCGCTTTCACTCACGTGCGCGCGCTTTCTCTATAATATCTTTTTCAGTGCAAAACGCAAACATTCATTCATATCATATTTTGCACGCGCGTCTGTGCTTGGAGCAACCAAGACATTTAATGTAGTTACTGTTATGATAAAAAAGTTTAGTCACTTATTAAAAACTTATTTCGGAAGGTCTTCTTGTTTATACAAATCAAATCATCGATATTGCGCAAGTCCTTGCGTCTACAATAACAATACGGTACAACGATATTGTCACGATTCGCTGGCAATTAGTCATCTACGCGTACTTGGCCAAGAAATTATTGTTTCGCATTAAAAATTGGATTTAACACGACCAATTCATTATTACTTTTAAAATGTCATACTGTTTTAATGCTTTCTCGCGAAATTGACAAACCTTCCAAGACTTAAGATCAAATACATAGTGTTGAAAATACTCGGGCAATGATAAAATGATAATAGATCTTATCAAAAAAGTGTAACTGAATTTTGTGCATATACTTCGATCCTACTTTATATTCTCTTTTATGAAAAGGGACATCGGTGTGAGGAAGGAACCATCGTTTAAAAAAATCTACGTGCGTTTTCACACGCTAAACTGTATTACGAATAATAAACGGTTAAAAAAGCACAGAAATTTCTTTACAAGAAGATTTACAAATATCAGTGTCCCTTGTGTACTCTGCAAAAATTGTTGAAAAATTCTGTCGGGATTCCTCGCCATAGGTTACGTTTTCCTGAATTAATGTATAATTACTCGAGCAAAAATGTTGATACAGACCATAATGATCTTGCCGAAGGAAACGATGATGGTCGTGGTGGTGATGGTGATGGTACTGATGATGATGTCGATGACGATAACAATGTCATTGGCGGAGCCGGTGACGGTGACGATGACGATGATGGTGACGATGCCGATGATGATGATAGCGACAATGTTGACGACAATGGCGAAGATGACGACGGCGACTATAATAAAATTGAGAATGATATTGACTCCGCTGAAAACATTTTCTGTTTTCCATGGCGTTGTTTAATCTTGGCAGTGAAGAACGAGTTATCAAAGATATATATCCTGATACACGCAATAGATTTTGTATCATTATACGCGAAGATAATGTTGGGGCCAGATTTGGCCACATTCGGGATCACCAGTTAGCCATGCCAGGTTTATTTAATGTCATGAAGTAAATCTGGCACGAACTTCCGCCTTTTGCTGACGAGAAAAATACCTGGAAATAATAATAAGACAATGCAAAAATGCATATAAAATACATAAATTAACTTGAACGTGTCAATCTGCACAAACCTTATCATTACGCTCGCAAAGGAACTTGAGCCGTTGAGCTTTCTTGTGCATGAATACACCATCGAGGTGACCACTTTCTACGCTCCTAATCTCAATCGCTTTATTGCCCCAGCCCATTATTTGTCCTGTACCAATATAGGCAACACTCGTGGGCATTTCACCCCATTGAAGGACCATCGTCTTGGAAACTCTACCATAAGTGTTCACATATACACCTTCGTTATCATAGCACAACAGTAGCTGCATTCCATTACTGTTGGGTAATGCGACAATGCAATGTGGACAAATAGGACCCTGAGTCTATAATTGAAATAGTCATTTTTACTGTTAGCGCGTGGCATCAGTAACTATTTCAACCCTTTGCACTCCACATCGTGAGTTCAATCAGGGTCGTCAAAAGTCCAAGAAAAAATACCGGTGTCAAAAATATCCATCTTTGTTGACTTGTCACTTATTGCACAACTCAATCTATTATACAGATCAATTTAAAATTCAAGTTTCATTTAAAACAGACAAAAGAATACTTGATTTTTAAAACTCTCGGAGTGCAAAGGGTTTACGATCTTATCGTTGATACGCCCTTACATGTTTTGGTAGATAAATATCGTAAACCGTTGCAGAATCCAAATCAACAGCGTGAAAGCCATCAGCGCTGCCATAGATGACTTTCAATCGTGTACCTTCCTCTATGGTAAGATCCACGAGAAGTGGTCTGTGCGCTAGTTCGCCGAACGATTTGAAAGCCATGAATTTATGATAAGGTTTCGGTGCCCATGCATAAATTTCTATGGAGTCCTTCAGCGCGATAACGAGAAACTTTATTCTCTCGTATTTGACTATTTTGAAGTGTACCGCCCCTTGGAGATCGCCAACGTTGATCCAACCGTTACGTCGTTCCACTTGCTGTGTAACGTACAGGGTTCAACGCGTTAAACCTATTTTAACAAGTACCATATCGTTCGAAAAATGCAATACTTACGTCGCTGTGTCCGTCAGTTCGTAAAATCTTGCTCTTGAGCCACGAAAGATAATACACTCGTACCCGGTTCTTCTTTCCGCTAATTGTGACCAAAATGTTTTGACCCTCGAGGACCTCCATTTGTTGAAATCGTCTTCTACTTATCAACTGATAAACTTTACCCTGACCACTTCTATCTAGCAGCATAAGGCCATTCTCGGTGCCAATTAATAGATTTACTCCTGTAACAATTTAAATGGGCAACATTTTTAGTTTTGCAAAGTATATGCAAGAAAAATAAGGTAACACGCCTGCGTTGCTTAGGAATTGTACACTTTTGTGATGTACCTACCCCACAGTGCAGCGCAGAGTATTTCGCTGTTGAAACGTTTTTTATATTTGCGTATTTCGGGCGTGTCGGATGCCAGGTCGTGGCTGGTCGGCGTTACGTTAACGTTCACGTGAGATTCCCTCCTGGCCGGACCAGCTCCGAATCCAAACGTGAGAAAAGATCTCTGCTTCTGTTGAAGCGCAAACGGAGGTGGTGATTTAACCGCTTGCCGATACTGCAACAAAATTTATTTTAAGATTCGGCTCCGACAAAAACGGAGCGACATAAATTGTACCGTCGAGGAGATGTGTATGTTACTGTAACTAACAATACGAAAACAACCAAAGTATTATGACTGATAGGTAGTAGTGGAACGGTTTAAGAAGAAATTAGAAGAAACAACAAAATGTACAGAGGAACATGCAATGGAAGAAAGTACAAGATTCGTAAAAAAAAAATTTAGAAAGTGTAAAAGAATTTTTGCGTCAAACGGTAAAGTGATATGCACATTACATACACCGCAAACAAATATTGCATAAACATAAAAACTTTCAAGTGACAAACGTAAATTCGCAAGCCGAGGCACAGTAATTTAACAAAGAGTCTAGGATACATTTTACAAAGAACAAACGTAATATGCATGTATCAACGCTAATATGCTTCTGATTTTTATTTTTTTTTTTTTTGTTATTAAATCTAAGTGATGAACAAACGATCATGAATTTTTCATGAAATTTATATTTTTCTTGTTCCTACGTAATTGCCGAGTATAAGAAATCATTAAAGTTGAAAAGAAGGGGATGCATGTGTGCGAATTTCTCTCTCACTCTCCCTTTCTCTCTTGTATCTGTCGCATGTGTGAGCTAATAAAAGCAGTATAATTGCGATCGTGCTGAGAACTTTTCGTTTATACCAAAGAAAGAGCCTAGAAACCAAAAGGAGGGTAGAAAGATTTTGCATACAGAAATATATGGCATTCATCGTGCTGCACACGAGAATAAAACGAGAAGAAACCAAACGTTAAGAGAAAAAGAAAGGATATTATTTGTGTTTTCTTTCGTCTGTACACGATAGGAACATTCTGGTAAGAAGGAAACAGAAGCGACACTGAATTATAAATGGATAAATGAATACTTACATTGCAATTAGTATTGGGATTGGAATGGTCAGTAGAAAGGGTCCTGCCCTTCGGATTAGAGCTCCCACGTGTCCCACAACACACAACAGAATCCTGAATTAGTCACGCTGACAACCGAATGTGACCGCTTTGCGCGGATTCTCGCGTAAATATAAAGGGGCACGATACGTAACAATTTATTATTAAACAACCGTTTTCGATGCATGGATTAAAATTATCCGAGCACACGGAAAGATTCTTTCTGTAGCAGGGCGAATATATTTGAATCGGTCCGATCGAACGATCTCAGTAGCTCGAATTAATTAAAAGTTTCGCATAATTCAATTGTCCAAGTAATTGAACACGTTTAACCGAAATAATGGATTCCTAATTTCCTCGAGCTACCAGAAAGATATTTACATTAATACAATCTGATACATTGGAGACCTTAAATTAGTATAGAACTACATAAATGTCCTTTTATGTAGCTTGACAAATTTGAATTGTTTTGATTCAAGTTCTTCAAGTATGTCAACTATTCAAATTATTTTGGACATCTATAAAAAAACAAAAATATTACTATTCTCATTTTTAACGTTTCATGTTTATAGATTTTTATTTAGTTGTAAGGACCAAAATTGTAATTGGAAACGTTATTAATAAATATCAAGCTTGCAGAAATTATGAATTTTCATAATTGTTCACATAATTATGTTGTGGTAAAAAACATGAATGAAATTGAATGATGAGACTATTCCTCTGTCTTAGTTGACACACTAACCAAAGAAGACAATCAAAACGAAAGTATATATTACTTTCCATGTCTGTCAACAGAGATAATCCAACTATCTAATCTCGAAATAAAGAAAAACCATGTTTTTTCTAATGATGAAATGAGGATCACGTGAAAGGAATAAACCAACGAGTGAAAGAGGTACACTTTTGAGATATTACTAGACCACCACAATACAAAATCTATCTAGTATCTATCAAAAGAAAAACTAAAAGTCAATAGAGAATATTTTTATTCTCTGAAGTGATGCTTCGACACTATTATACTCATTGGAAATCTAAAAATGAAGTGGTTCCGTGCGTCCTTTTATTAACATTAATTTTTGATGCAAATGATCAGTACTTTACCTAGAAAATAATATGTACAAAAAAGACATTGTGCCACTCTAATGATTTTAATTTTATCGTTTTGTTGTCTTCGAACCTTTCTTCCTATTGTGAAGTACCACACTATGGAAATGTACAAAAATGTACATTCTATATTCTACAGATTATGTTTTCTTATCTTTGCAATACTGTCTACATATTGACACGTACCATGTATAATAATTACTTTTTAAGAAGTTTCCTATTTATTCGTAAATTATTTTCCTTAAAACTACTAGAACACTACGTGTCTACGTAATATATAATTCAGATTTGCTGCACTAAAACAACAATTACAAGTACCGTGAACTGAGTACCATGTTCGCTTCAACAAGTTATCAGACGTAGAAAACTATAAGCAAAGCATTCACAAGGTACTGACACAAAGCAAAAGGCGTCCTATGTGCAAACCCTCAAACTTGACAACGTAAATCGTTATGTTTGCTTCACGTTGCTATTACATTACATTTCTTATCGCCGGTGTTATCGAAAGCGATTGCAAATACGTAAACCGTGTCCGTTCAAGTTCGTGGGTTAACACAGTAACATACACGTACATATCTACGCACGTATTTATTGGCTCCGTTCTTCGAACCGTTGCTTTTTACCATGCTTGTATTTCGTTTCCTAAATGCTTTTTCTATTCGTTATTTTTTGCGCTTATTCAATTCATACTCGACCAATGGAACAGGTCATTTGCACTGTACAAACAATAAAGAGTTTAATAACGAGTATTAAACCGATAAACGCAGCCAATAATTGAGAATAGATCATGACGTTTAGGAAATCCGTATCTCGATAAAAACACATATTTAAATATATCGAGTGCCACGAAGAAAGAAAAATGGTCTGGGAAAGGGTGTATTGTTGGAAAGAGAAATGTGCACTCGCACGCACTATTGAAGTTCTGTCATGGAAAGATTGCAATACTGTTATTAACACGTTCGGTGCCGCGAGAATCATGACAATCTGTTATTAATTACTTTATGCACTTGCGCTCTCGTTGTAACTGATATCAATATGAAAACATTTAATTGCTCAACAGTGTATTCCGTATTTACGTCTGTAGCTCATGTTAGTAATCATGTTCATAAATTCCCAGAAACGCCTATACAGGGTGTTCGGCAACCTTGGGAAAAATTTTAATGGGGGAATCTAAAGGCCAAAATAAGACGAAAATCAAGAATACCAATTTGTTGATGGAGGCTTTGTTAAAAAGTTATTAATCTTTAAAGTTCCGCTCGTATTGAATTTTTTTCTCGAAAATGCGCAGGATTTCGGGGATATGTCTGTTCACCAAAAATGATTGTAATTGACCCCCACAACCGAAAATAATTTTTTTAGAACGATTTGAAAAAAGTTTTTTCCGCCGAAAAATTTCAGCACCTACACCCTTATCGATTTTTCTTAAAAACTTGTTTTTCATTTTTAATAAATTTGTTTGACGCTCTACAGAAAAGTTGTCTAATACTTTTTTGTAGGTAGCCATAAGCTCAACTTCAGAAAAAAGTTTCATTGAAATATATTTATTATTGTAAGAGTTATGGCTGTTTGAAAATTTGACCATTTTTATGGGGTTTTTTTCTTATTTTACGGGGTCAAGGATCAATTTTTCGAATATTTTTAGAATTTCTACATATTCTCCACCAAAATACGCGTTGTTTGCCATTCGAAACATTAAAATCGTCCAATCCGTTCAGAAGTTATGATGATTTAAAGGTACACATGAAATTTCAGGGACATAAACCAATATATGGTCAGACATTAGATTTTCGGTAAAGAATTTTTTTTCTCGAAAGTGCGTAGGATATCGAGGGTATATGTATTGACAAAAAATGATTGTAATTGAGCCCCACACTCAAAAATAATTTTTTTAGAACGATTTGAAATTTTTTAATTTTGTTGAAGAATTTCATATCTTTTCGAATTTTTTTCTCGAAACTGAGTAGGATTTCGGAGGTATCTGTATTCACCAATAATGATTGCAATTTACCCTTGCAATCGAAAATAATTTTTCCAGAGTGATTTGAAACTTTTCAATTTTGCTGAAAAATTTCGTACCTTCTCGATTTTTTTCTAGAATGTGGGTAGGATTTCGGGGGTATGTCTATTTACCAAAAATGATTATAATTGACCCCCGCAACTAAAAATAATTTTTCCAGAACGATTTGAATTTTTTTAATTTAATTGTTAATAACTTTTTAACGAAGCCTCAAATGAAAAATTGATATTCTTGATTTTCGTCTTATTTTGGCCTCTACAATCTCCCATTAAAATTTTTCCCTGGGGTGGCCGAACACCCTGTATAAGTTCAACGACACCGACCATCAATGATTCACGTGGCGCCAAACATGTTAAACATGATTAGATGTATGCGAATACGCGCACTGGCGTCTACGGTCGAAAACAAAGTGAACAATGTTGATGCATATCTAACCTCCTCGCTGGTTGACTTGTCCTGTCGTTGACTCGGGGACGAAGTGAGAAGATCCGGCAGAACAGAGCTTGGCCGTGACCCTGGCGATGAGTCTGACCTCTGGAAATCACCTCCGCCGCCGCCTCTTGGCCGATCGCCACCTTCTCGGTTCTGCAAAACAATCGTTCGACAATTAATGGGATTGCCAGTGCGACAAACAGGTGCCAAACATAAAAGGTAACAAGAACTGCTAAAGGATGAAGACCTGAACTTTTTCATACTGTAACCTGTGGCCAAGAAACGAAACGACGAAGTAGCACGTACACTTCCCAAATACATATTTTGCGCAAGCACGATTTCTTCTTTGACCGTTCTGTTTTCAATTCACCTCATTGATAATAGTATAGATTCAGATATCATTTGCTCTTTCGATTATATCTAACAACAATTGGAAACATAAGAGTTAATTATTTGTTAGCTACGTTTCAGTCATCAGGTTGCACAGTCCTCAATTATACGCAAATCTTGAATTAAACACATAGATTAATAAATATGAAATAAAAATTTCAAACAATGTGAGTATTGACAGTGTTTACGTTTCGTTCAACGTGATGATCGAAACTGTAGCTGGTAAATAATTAGCCGTACGTTTCCTGTTGTTTCTCGATATAACAAAAGACAATTCTAACATCGCGTAAGAATTATATACATGTTTTAAATAGCCAACTTCTTATTACTTACATAAATTCAGGCCTTGATACCATAGAACAGATTAAAATTAAGTAAATAAGTCGTAAGAGGACAAATCGAAAACTCGTGTAAAGGAACACAAGACGGAAATGGAGGGAGTACGATGAAACGAAGGAGTACGAGGAACTGGACATTAGAATAGCATTGGAGAACAAAAAAAAAACTCAAGCAAGGTATGAACAAACGCAAAAAAGAAACCGAAGAATGGTGCAAAAAAGCAATTAAAAGAATAATTACCGAACAAAATTTAAATAACGCGATCAAGTTTAACACGCCTATACCTATATCGGTAATAAGCCTAAGAAAAATTTTGGACGTTTGTTTTTCGCATACGCATACGGTAAAGAAACAACTTATACTTAAATACACAATACGATGCAAAACATAAATGAAATGAGCGCATGCAAAATGTGGATTAATTAACAAAAAGAAAAAAAAAAGATCGCTTCAACTTTCGTTTCGTCAGTCTACTACGCAAAACATATAATGATACAAACATTCGAAAGTAACAACGGATGCAGATTATTATGTAACTTGAGACTCAAGTTCTATTTTACGTTTATAACATTGGGGAAACGTGCAACATTGTAAAATATAAAATATCTTACGCAAGTATCGCATTGTACATCGACTTATATAAACGCACCAGTCTGCGACGGCTACATTCATAGTTCAAACCTTTCGCATTACATTCTGTTTTAGAATTTCCTCGAACGATCAGTACTCTACTACCGTCCATGTATCATTCTGTTGTAAAAATGTACTCGAACGAAACGAAAGTAGTGACTTTGACTGGGTTGGTTGCAATCAAGATAGCAAGGAACAGATAACTATTTTTTTTTTAAGTAATATTATTAACGTTACCAGTAAGAATTATGTCTGCTTAGACTTAAAGGAGAGTTATTCGAAAATTATCCACGATAGTCCGTTGCGACAAACGATATTAAAAATACATGTGATCTTCGATCGAAAGTGCTGAAAATGCCGTTGTGATCATTCGTCACCGCATACTTAAAAAAAAAATTAACTACGCACAATGTTTCAATAAATAAACAATACGGAACAAGCGCAACTGAAGGTACATGTCTATTATATATCTTAACACAAACAATTCTACTTTCAAGCATCAGTTTCTAACACAAGTATGAAAATGTTCAGCTTTTTTTTTTATCATACAGTAATTTTAAGAATAAAAAAAAAGACACAAATTAGCAATTCGTACCATGACCAAAGGTACACACATATTAAAGCATGCCTGGCACATGCTGCGATATGGCAATACAAGTAATACGTCACACACATTGTGCACGCTATAAGCGTCATGCAAAACAATGAATTTCGGTCATAGTATACAACTCCGTACGCTCTCGCGAAAGGAGAGGATCCAACAGTAATCGTTGATTGCTCTGTGTACATATTATATATGTATATACATATACATATACATACACATACACGTGTATACATAAATATAAATATACATATAATATGTTATATATTTATATATAATCCCTTTTATCTCAATATAGCTCTTTTCGACGTTATCCTGGGTTCTACTGTCGCACTTCTTTTCCTTTCTATACTCTATTTCTCCGTGAGTATTTATTTCCGTAGACATGTTACTCACTTTGAACGTTCTTCATTCATGGCCGTGCAATTTTCAAGCAGATGATATTAAAATCTGGTTAACACAGGACACACGCACACACTCCGTATCGATAATCAATCGTTTCCATTTTTATTTCCTTTTCTCTCTCATAAGATGTAAGAATTTCAGTCGATATAAAAAGTGCGCCTGAGAAAGTAGCTTCATGAAAGATCACGAGGGGATTATGAGATGATCCGCGTCAATGCGAAGTCGTTGTTTCTTCTCAAACACGAGACCAGAAAACTTTTGAACAAACATGCATTAGATAAGGCTATCAGATTAATCACACACCTATCGTTTGTGTAAACATAGAAGTCATGGTGAACAGTCGTGTAGAGGTATTACAAAGCAACCATTAGTACGTCACAACAATATTGTTAAACACCAAAGAAAAAGCGTGTCGATCTTCTCAGAATTTGAATCAAAGATTTGTGCATACAACAACTTTTAATAGAAACTCAATATTTGCATTGGTATAAATGTTATTTAATAAAAAAAAAAAAAAGAATAAAAATTTCAAAGCAGTTGTACTACATTCATCTCTACGTGAATTAATTCATTCCAGACAAATTGACTTTGGACTCTTCTATAACAAGGAGTGACAAATCGTTAGTATACACACAATGTTTTAAAATGAAGGAACAATCCAAAACACACAAATTCCTATCTGAAGAAAAATTGAAAAGTCCTTTATCTATTTTTCAATCCTTCTTTTCTTGTGATCTCGATAAAGGACGTTTCAATCTTTTTGCATGAGAAATTTCTATATCTCGGATCGTCCCATCGTTTTGAAACAACCCTGCATGTACCATCCACCCACACACGCATCTGCACGCACAGATACACGCAAGGAAGCTATCGAGTAATGTTGAGATACAAGCACACGTAAAATTCAGCAAAAGTGTTAGTCTAAAAATGAATTCTCATGATCGTTCTCGCGCCGGTCACTTTAACATCACAAAGTGTCTTACGCAGAAATGTTTTACGATCGAATCTGAAATCTGATTGTTCTGTTACCGGTACCCGGTTAACGGAACGAATGCATGCCACTTTGGTTGCTCTGTTTACGTTAAACGGTAAAGAAGCTTTACTGGAATTATCGCTGAACCTGCGTAGAGATCCGTGACGTGAACGTAACGGGTACGACATCATATGAGACACACTTTCACAAATCTTTAACCGCTCATTTCTCGAGTCCCGCGATGTTTTGTTGCGATGATCGCAGCAACACTAGCAGTTTTCCCCTCATACGATGGTGTTACGTAGAAACAAGACGAATATCCTCAAAGAAATTCCATGCGGTTAATCCTCCTCTTAGGCTCGGAATTCGAAATGACGATAAATGTTGTCGTAGAAGTAATGTCTGACATTTTCTGCATAGAAAGTAATATGCATCACTCGAAAGGATGGAGAGGATTAGTGCCAGAAGAAACGGAATTTGTAGCGATAGTATTAGAAAACGATAGCGATGTAACAAAAGGTTAGCGGTTGTGGTGATGATTATGTAGTAGCAATCGCACGTTCGATCTATGCCTTCGGTTAACGGAAATTAGGATTCCTGGAAGTGAGGACACCTGATTCGCGTAAGTTGACGACCTTGAAGAGGGCATATACACCTAGAAGATTGAAAAAAAAAAAAAAATTGAAGTTAATAAAAAACTAACGAAGTTATACGGTGCTCTATTTGACTATAATAAACATGACAATATCAAAATTTATAAACATCTAATAAACGAATAATCAATTTACTCTTACAATATGTACTTGTAAACAACCAAAATCCTGAATTTCTATATTTAATTGTTTAGCCACGATAAAATTGTAAACAATTACCTATACTTTTTATAAGTGTATATGACCCCTTAAATTATTATAACCCGTACATTCTACCAAAACCTGCTTCAAACCAGCTGAAACAACATGTTCTTTGAACTTAACGTCGGTAGATCAACCCCTTCGTTCCTACACTTGAATATAAGAAATGTAATTTCTTTTTTTGATACGTATCAATTTGTTTAAAACTATAACGAAGTTGTATAAAAAAAAAGTAGCATTGTAAGTAACGTCGAGACGAATTCAACGATCAATTGTTACTATTTTTCAAAATATCAAAATATTGATATTTCATATTACGGTCAACAATTTGCATAACCAAATGTTCCTACACGACAGTCTATCCATATTTTATTAAAAAAAGAATATATTAAGTTTTAATCTGTTACTTAAATAAAGAAAGTGATCCTCCATTTTTTGATGTAGGAAAAGAAGATGTATTCCTCTTCAAAGGAAACACAAACTTTTTTTCTACATCAAGAAATAAAGATTATCAATTCAGACCACTAATATTTTATAAATGAATTGTTCATCATTGTAAAATACGCAACTTTCATATCTATGGGGGATACAAGTACGTATAAAGCATTCGAACAATGCTAGCCTTGATCAGAAGTCGTTATTAGGATCTATCATTTTTCTGGGTTGTAACTTAAAAGAGCCTCACCTTTCCCAATTAGTATCGAAACTCAAAGATAATTCGTTAGTAATAGTAATTTAGTATTAGTGATAATGGTAATAGTACTAGTAACAATAATAGTGACAGCAGCTATTAAAGTAGTAGTAATAATGGCAATAATAATAGTAATGATAAAATAATACGTCGGTATATAAGTTTAAAAAAAAAAATGTTAAACCTTTGCAGGTCACTTTTTAACACGATATTTATATCACGATAACTACACAATATTTTTAAACATCTTATTGATCGAGCTATATTTATAAAACGGGACAAAAAATATACTCTATTCCTCCACATTTCATTCTTTCGAAAGATAGAAATTATGTTTTCTGTCCTGTGTTATGTATATTCATTTACATCAATAATTTATGGGGGGCTTGAAATCATAAATGCATTTCCCCATACACGCGACTATGTAGCTCTTTGTGAGAAATTGTTGAGTAATTTGTCATGTGTGTTCATATTACAACTGACTACACAAAAATGAACCTGCTAATGCAGGCACATTATCGTCGTCAGCAAAAAGTCAAATTGGATCCAGTGATGAATAGAATGCGAAAATATTAAAGGCAGTAAAGTGTTAAATATTAGCAAAAAGTAATAAACAAAGAATAAAGTAAATGTTATTTGAAATTATTCACTATGCGATAGCGTGTCGTTCTCGTTTTATAAGTTTCTGTTCACAATGTAGTGGAAAAAATGTGCAAGAATAGTTTTGTTAATTGTGTAAAAATTTCCCCATCCTTACTCCGAATAATAACAAAACATACTATTAGTAATAACGAGTCGTTGTTGATACTATACCAAAGTATAAATTAATGATATACCAACATTTCTCTATGAATCTTTATGCAACTCTGTCTCAAGGAACGATCTAGTAAAATAGAAGAGAAGATAATAGTAATACTGATAATAGAATAATACTGATAGCACTAATAGTCATGTATCGTTCCTACTCATATCTGTAAATGTTAAAGAAAATAATGAAGACAAGGTATAGGAAATTGGGAAATGCGCCTAAAATTCGAGCGTAGCTGACTAGCTTTCTATATTGATTTTTGTATGCTGTTAGATATCGGAATATGGATGTAAGAGTTCGGTGGGAAAAATGTCTGTCAATATTCTTTTTGAATATGTTAAAAATTCACACAAGTACGAATACTAAATTTATGTTCAATTGCCTATCCAAAGACTTCAAATGAGATTTTCTTCTTAGTACATCTTTCAACTTGCATTTTACTTTTCTACTGTACTGTATACATATATTATGATATTTAAAACGATATAAAGATATGAAATGATATAAAGAATTATTCAGCCTGGATTTCACAGAAATCTACATCGAACCATACAGTAAATTCATCTGCAACACGTTAACTATGTATTTAATTGCACAAATTCATCGAGTCACAAATTTGAGCTTATTTGTAAAGAAATGACGCGTGGTTTACTAAAATAGATACACTGAGAAAGTATATCAATATATCGACAGACATCTGGGGATGCACGGATGTCGTGGAATTTGAAATTGATGAAGATACAGACCGAAGGTATAGACAAAAGGTAACGTGGTAGGTATTTCTCAGGCAAGCACACAGGCAGGGCTGATAAGGGGAAGGGGGGCGGGGACTGACCTGAGTGACAATGGGGCTGTACTCGCTAGCCGTTGTACTGGCCGTAGATTTAATAGTTCCTGCTTCGTCAACTGCGGCAGAAACCGCATCTGATGGTCTACAACTGCGTCTCCTCGTTGTGTCATCTTTATCGCGTCCAAAGTCGAACCTTCTGGTCCCGTGTCTCCTAACGATCTCGCTCTCTGTCTTTTCTCTTCTAGGCCTCTGAAGACCATCACAGTCGAAAGAGAAGTCTGTAAGAACCGGTTCGCCGGTACTGACAGCATTGCCCTTTTTACCAGCGATACCGGCAACGCTTATCTCACTTCCGCGGCGATTGCCACTTGCGAATATACTCGACCTTGAAGAATCCGACTTCTGTAAATATGCAGAGTGTCTCGCGGAAGGAAAAAAATCTGAATTCTCACGGCGAAAAGCACGTGCAAAAGCGCTGGACGTATTGCCAAGCTTCGAATCGCTTTCTTGTCGCCTGTGCGCCGGCTTTAACTGCTGTTGCTGTTTCTGATGATGCTGCGGTTCTTGCTGATGGTTTTCGTACTTCCTACGCGACAACTGTTGCTGTCTCTTCAACGTTCTCTCGGTAGACGACGAAGAGAGATCCTCGCTACCGGACTTATTCGTATCGGCCGCCTCTTGCGGATGTTCTTGTTTCATCTTATCCAACCTTTCGTTAAAACCCTGGAAGAAGCGGGTGAAATCCCACTCCTTCAGGAGAAGCTGCTCGTCTGCCTCGGAGCGCCGGTTGCTGCTAGCCGCTGCGCGATCGTCTGACATCTGACTAAGTTTCTAAAGAGCGCGCACGAGAATAATAATATGGTAACAAAAAAAAAAAAAAAAATAACACAAAAGCGAGAAAAAGAAATGCGTGCGGCGATACATAACGTGAGGTAGCTGTGATGGCAGTGCAATGCAATAATTAAGTTAATGTAATTGCATTTGCAACGGTGGCGATGCTATAACCAATAAAGTGAGCAATAAAGTTGCGTAATAACTTTGATATTATACAGTTATTATCTCTGGTATTGTTTCTTTCTTGAGCAAAAACCTATTCGTTTACGGATTATAGCGAAACAATACTTTTGTACGTTCGCGAATACATGTTTCCCGTTCTTTGTAACAAACTTTTGTTCTTCGTTTATTGTTTTAACATTTCATAGAGATTTCACCACCGTAGCAACAGTACCTATGATGACACATACTCGTCAGTTGTATACAACTGTGTGGAAATGTACCGTGTAACAGCAAATGTACAGACAACGCACCATGGTGCCTCGTAATTGCACAAGATTCAATTACAACAAGAATTTGTAATGAATACACATAGGTGAACAAATATTACTGACTTATCTCTGGTTACCAATAAGCACACAATATAGATACATAAAATGAACAAATATATATAATGCAATCGCTTGTATTCCCTTCCCTTCTTTCGTTCGTAATTAAATCGGATCTTAATGTTAAGAAGACTTACGAAACGGAAAAAGTAAAGAAAAATACAACGACTGCTCTATCGAAACATAATTAAATAACATAAGAGAGGAGGTTACATTCAGTCAGTACATGGAGATATCGATTCATGTCGTTATTAAGAAATGTAAATAAATCTCACATAACATTCAAAAAACGATAGTATCAGAATGAGACTAAAACAGTGGACCTCTGCTTGCATTATATACACGAATAGAGTACTTACCCGTTTCATGACTAGTGTACGATCTGATTCTTCCTCATCAGGCGTTGGCGGAAGTGGTCGATTTGGTGCACCGCCTAAAGAGAACATTTGCAATTTAACATCTCGAATAAACTCATTGATAAGTTATAGCAGAATGCACGTCAAGTCAAATACACGATTTGTTCCAAAAGTAACCAAACTTTAAATTAATTAAAATCGTTTAATTACTGAAAATTGAAGAGCAACAGAAAGTTGCGAAAAACTAAAGAAGAAAAAAAATAAAAATTCATTTTCATATCGAGCGTGATGTATTTGTATCCAGAAGAGAAAAAATTCCTGTTTCATGTCCTACCTTTAGACTTACCTTGGTGGTGTGAGTTCTGAACATTATGCGAAGACATCGACGACGGATCTGTAGATGGTCTGAAAGGAGAAAATTCGGGTCTGCAGCAACGGATATAGAAATGTGGAGACACGTGATGGCGTACGAAGAATACGGAATGCGTTGCGTACGTTGTGTGGCGATGCGACGAAGACGTCAATGCGAAGCGATATGTTGAAGCGTAATGAAAGATGAAACGAAATGACATTAGTATGATTAATTTAAGAACCACATGTAGAAAACATGTTTACAATGATAACTATGGAATACTCTTCCTTCGAGTATCGTATTAAATGTTTATTTTTAATTGAATATTAAATTAGTGATTTCTGGGTCTCTGGGTGTTAATGTAAGGAAACTTTTCCCAATAACTATTAGAACAGTAACCGAACGGAAGACGTAATTCTTTTTTAGTACATTAGAGTTAATTAAAAGATTAATTAAATGTGCATGATCTCGCAAAGGGCACAGCAGACATTTTTGCAATTCTAGATGGTTCTCTTCAAAGTACAGTAACACTTGTTTGAAATATTTTGTAGTTTAATTAACAAATAATTAACATACGTATTCAGCGGAAATTCGTAACGAACATTTAATATTATTTTCCCAGAGACCAACATAAAAGAAGTTTATAATTCAATTAATTACAGTGAATGTTTGACAACTCAAATTTCTACTCACAAAGGTTTCGGTGGGTCGCTTGCAAGCAGAGTACCATCGTTCCTCACATTGTTTCCACCTGCATCTTCGAGATCGTCGTCGCTATCACTTTCAACAGACAAAGCCTGTAGCAAATGTATTTATTTTTATTTAAACAACACACTGTAAAATGAAACGCATTAACAATTACATACACTCTGATTTAACTTCGAAATACTGCACATGTTTTACACGAAGAAAAAACAAATACATAGTAAAAATACATAATAAACAACGGATTAAACAATTGTGTAAAAGAAAGGGTTATTTACTTTAGGAGAAACTTCTCGAAATTGACGAGATGTTCTCTAAAATAAATATTTACCAAAGAAAGGAAAAAAAGTCCTGTAATTGTAACACTTACTTGATCAAGAATACTAGAAGACTGCGGCATCTGTTTGTTGTTTTGATCGTTACTGCTTGCCGGTTGAACAGAGTTCAATGTTGATGATGCAGCAGGGCCCTTATGCTGTCTGTTTGGCCTTGGCGGGGCCTCTGGGCCCTGTGACACACCAAGCTCGTTGAGTTGAGCGGCCAGCATGTCCAAGTCCTACCACCCACACGCACACACGCACAACCCCGTTAGTCACTGTTTCGAGACACCTCCAAAAATGTTCTAAAAGCCACCACCGAACAACAGCCAGGCAAGGCGAAACGAGAAAAATTGTGGCAGAAAAAACAGAATCTGTCACTTAAGTGACGTTATTGACACTCAAATGTTGATCAGTATTGTAGAAATGATCATGATCATGAATAACATATCCGATGTGGTAGACATTAATTGATATAAACTTGTATAAAACGCTTAAATGCACGTTTATACAATATCGAAGTCATGAAAGTATATCATAGTCTCTAGTAAGTAGATCAAGTTCGATATACATTAGAATCTGATAAAACTATAAGGAGTACATTTCTCAAAACATGGAGAAACATGTTGTGTTTACACATCTAAATGCTGTATAATTGTACCAAAGTGAGAACATACATTCAGGTGATTTTAGTGAAGCATACCAAAATGTAATATTGTGCTCAAGCGATAACACTGAGAAAATGGTGATGGATGAACTTGTTAGACAGAAACTTTAAAAATCGATTAGTATTCTGCGTGAAATTAAAACAAGCGAATTGCATGTGGTAAAATGAAATGATTGCTCTACGGCTTATGTAGAGTGATTGTTTCGTAAATTACCTGTACACATAATTTGCAATGTTACGTGTAAAAAGAGAAGTGAGTGTGATTGATCGTATGTTTAAATTCAAGGTTAAGAATGTAACATGTAGAGAAAAAATTAAGTGTTGTGTTCTTACCTCCGGCCTCCTTGGCGGCAGCTACGGTACGTGTGAACATGGAAAAAAAAATAAAAACCGAATAATTTCAAATTCGAGTGCTAGGCGCGCGCGCGTGCATTGTTTCTTTTTTTTGTCGTGGGTGTAGGTGTGTGTACGTGTGTCTGAGCGCACTAAGAAATAATTGTGCGTCTGTACTTGCGCGTCTATAAACGTGCATGTCATAATGGCAAAATAGAACGAAATTTCGCGTGCAATCTCAAGTATAAGAATACAGCAAAAAAGGAGACACAAGAGTTTATACATAACAAAATGTATTACACAGAAGTGAGTTGGATCAGTGAGAGATAGCAAGATGGCAAAGTAAAACAAAACTAGCATTTGCCTTTCTACAATTGTCATAATCCAATGTAGTTTTCAGACTACATATATTAGTTTTTTTATTGGCACAAGGTAAAATGCCGAAGAGAAGTTACGATATGAAAGACAGAAACAGATATAGAGTTTCTTCGCGTAAACAACAGTGAAAGAGGCCTACCATTGGTTTAAACACGTGACTGTTTCTTTGAGAGGCGGATTGTCCACCAGAGCTTCCACTACCGCTGACAGCAACGGGTGGTTGATGATTGGAAGGCGGCGTAGAAACTTTATGCGGTTGTCGTGGATCGTCTCTGGGTGTCGGTGGTAATGGCCGAGACGGTGGTTGAGGATCTGGAACTACTATAAAACACGGAAAAGGAATTGTAAGAAATTCACGATAAACAGTAAACTGTTTCGTTGCAATAATTTTAAGAACAGTTTCATTTAGGGCAAAAGAGCAAATAGATACTAGATACACTATTAGACGCACCGATTAGTCTGTGAGGAATGGCAGGTCGTGCAGGTGGCCCTGGTTCAGGTATATCTCTTTGAGATCTGCCACTCGGTTTTTCCTTAGCAGCAGGTGGTTGAGGAACTACTTCTTGTGTTAGAGTCCTACCCTCCTGAATTTGCTGGAAATTTCTACGCAATGTATCGCCACCAGGAGCTTGAACGATAGACGACGGTTCGCCAGCCAATGCTGGCTCATCTTCTTCATTCTCGCTTCCGCTGTATCGATAATCGTCCCTTTCTACGACAACGAGGAAAGAATATAATGATAACTCGTTTAAAAATTCTTCGTTAGATCTCTCGCAATTTTTCGTACCTTTTTCTTGTTTACGTTTTTTACAACGATCAATATGATCTTTGAGTTGTATCCTGACTTGTCGTTCGGTTGGTTGGTCCCGGATAAAAGGATGTTTAAGAAGCTGTTCCGTATACGGTCGTTGATGATAATCTTTTACTAGCACTGTTTCGATAAAACCGTGGAATTTCTTTGCCCATTTTTTCGACTTCAGTCTCGGTGGCGGGTTACGTGGGATCAGAAATAAAGCCTTTTGTGCGAATAAAAACGATAATCAAACATTTTCATCTTTATATACAATAGCAATAACATACCGTGGAAAAAGAATTCGCAAAAATTTTAAATAGTTACCCGCATCGGATGGAGGTCACAAAGCGGAGGTTGTGATTCAGCCATTTCTAAAGCAGTGATACCGAGTGACCAAAGATCACTTCTATTGTCATATGTGGCATCCGGATTTTCATCGCAGGCTATGACTTCTGGAGCCATCCAATACGGTGTTCCAATAAATGTATTTCTTCTACCTATTGTCCTGTCTAACTGTGCACTAACGCCAAAATCAACTGTAATACAAAATACCGATTTAATAATTCATGGTTTACTAATACAAGTATCCACATCATAGACCATTAAAACATGATCAAAATGATATATATTATGTAAGAAAAAATATTGCACCTAGCTTAACTTCAGCATTATCGGTTAACAGGACATTCTGCCCTTTGATATCCCTGTGAATAACTTTATTGCTATGAAGATAACTAAGTCCCCTCAATATTTCTCGTGATATATAAGCAATCCATTCCTCTTTTAAACTCTGGCCCTTTGTTGACTTGACAAGATCCGTAACGGAGCCAGCTCCGCAATACTCCATAACCAACCATAACTGATCATCTTTTCCAGGTGATGACTTCTTCACGAAGGCACCATAATACGTTGCTATATTTCTGTGGTTCGAATACTGCAACAGGAACGACGAATATCATTTTATTTTCAACGCGACGTTTTTCTACTCGAAAACGATTTAAGTACCAATACACACCCGTTTTAATACATTTATTTCTAATTTGATTTCTTCCTCTTCATCCTGAAATAAACAAAATTACATTATAAGCAAATAATAATCGGTACTAGTAATTACAAATTATAATCAACTCACTTCTGTAACATCCATAACTTTAATGGCTGCCAACTGACCGGTCTTGGTATGTCGACCCTAAAAAATAGAAAATTATGTCGTTATCATAAATAACGGCAGTGCGCCACAACGTAATATTCAATGATTCGATCACACGGAAATGAAGTTTATTTCGATTTTTCGTATAATCGGGGACTTAAATACCGATTGCACGGGCACAAGTTAATCGATATCTCGTTAAGTCTTGAATTTTAGACCCACATTGCTCGATACTTTATTACTTACTTTTACATACTCTTTCCAATAGCAGAGTCGAATTTTATACATTATGAGTAAAAAATTTAAAATGACCTTCGCAACTCGATAAAAAAAGGGAATGTAAGTACGTGGCGCGTTATCTTCCTTCAAGATTACGTGATCTCCGATAGAGAGTTATTTCCCGCTGGATGTTCTCCATTTGCGGTATGCGTTCAATTGGTCGATGTATTCTTTGTGCCATCTTGCCCAGAAATGCTGTTTCACCCTTTGTATACGTTGCCACATTGACAATCTATTAACGTCTATTTGCAGCAAATCTTTCTCCGGCATGCTCATTAATGAATCACCTATTATGAGATGTGCAGGAGTCGAGGCGTTTGTGTCATTAGGATCGGATGAAATAGGAGTTACTGGCCGGGAGTTTAATATCGCCTTGATCTTAATTATATACGTACTTAACCGCTCGTACGTGAATGATTAACAACAGACCGAATCAAACGATGTTTGAACGATTTTACAAGAGCCTTCCATGAACCATCGTTTCGCAGGATTTCTACAGATTTGATCGGCGCTACGCGTGATTTTCATGCAACTAATCGAACTATGATTAGGCCATCGGGGCTACGTGATCGAACACATACGCATGCGCCATATGTTTTCTCACTGGCATCGTAAAATCCATCAGAACATCTGATCCACTTTATCAAACGAACGATACGATTCCTTAATTTTTTCTTTTCAACATTTATCGCAGACGAATCTAATGAATCGCTCAAAGAGCTTCGGATACGCGTTAATTGCGCTTTCGCGTATGTGCATCGACATTTGAGATTTTTAATTTCTTCTGCGATGATTTCTCAACGATGTTAACGAAAAGGATTTATGCACGAGGATTGAGATAGAGAGCGTACTAAGATTCAGATTACCAAGCGTCGATATACCAACAACTTTCATCGGATATGCTGCGATGATTAATGCAAAAATCTGGATTTCCGTTTAGATGCCAGTCGAAGGAATCTGGATGTAGCAATTCCCCAAACTACTGCCTCGTGGTTCATTTCCAATGGTATCGCGGTGACTCTGCGTCACGACTCAGGTGTTCACACCGGAAATCGACAATGCAATATTGCCAGGAATTGTCACGGATCATATAAGCGCTTGTGAACCGTCAGAATGAAATATCACTTGGACGAATAATTCGTTATCCCTTCGGTCGTCCCGAAGAGAGTCTGTGTCCAATATTACTCGATGACATCGTTGAATTCCACGTGGATGAGGAGTTGCTACTCTCCAAATTGATTCAGAGGAGGTATGTGGCTCATAGTTGCGTTTCTTCTTCTGGCGGAATGCGTGGAACTCTTTGCTGATATCCGGCTCGGATGGCCAAAATGTTTTATACAAACTCACGTTATTTTCCATCTTACGCGAATCGATTGTAAAAATAAAATTTTACGATCTATGGTTTTAGATCTTGGTATTTCTTTAAAAGTTTTTTTTTGTAAAAGTTTTGCTGTATCAGTGCTTGGTATCACAGTTGCCCAAAAGAAGTTCGCCATGGGCGTGACCAAGGTCGTGGAAGGAAGTATTAATGTTTGATTGATTTGCAAGGTTGTATGGTGGGAAAGTTACATATTTATTTCAACATGACATTGATTTTTGTTAAGTTAAAAGCAAAACTGAAGTTTAGTGTTTGATGGGCTATATGATCGCGTATCGTTAAATCTCAAAAAATGATTTTTACATTAAAAGGTCAAGGTCAGTTTGACCTTTTCAAATGACACAACAGTATACCACACTATGACCTTGAAACGACTTTGAACTCAAAAATGTTGTAGAAATGTAGTATTAATGATCCATGTTCTATGATACAGAGCCTCACTCTGTGTATTAGGATTTTCGTTGTTGCTATAATTAGGCTGCCTTGATCTGTGTTTACTTTCATTGCTTCCCATGTTACATATATGTTTATCACATAGGCTTCAATATCATCAGTAATTTATTATACCATAGATTCAATCAGTTTATTAGCAGTATTACTAATTTCAGGATTAAAGCATATATCTATGAAAGATGTTTCATTTTTTTCTGGTTGATATTCTCAATCTTTTATATACACAACTGTTTTTCAATGGTTGTCCATTTAAGGACAACTTTGTTAAGAATGTTTTCAAGGTGAATCACAGTCTCCTTTAATCTCAACTTCAGATGAGACTAGATACTTTTTAATCCTTGTACTCGACTAATATGAGAATGTGTCTGTGTACATGAATAAAAGTACATATATGTACAAATATTGTTTACACATTTCATACTACACAATGTGCTCATGTGTATTACTAGAAAACTCTGTATATGCACATTGTAATAATCAAAGGCAAAAATTGTAAAAGTATAGAAGTATCAAAGAATTATTAGATTATTAAATTGTACCATAAATAATAGAAAGCATGTGTAATTATAACTCATTAGATACAAAAATGTTAAACATGTAAACTGGAAGTCATCCTAAGTCTACACAACAAGGATTAAATAAATAAATAATAATAAATATACAACATTATATATAACATTCATTATAAAGTAATTAATACTTCTATAGATTGCTTTTCTGCTGATTCCCACAAGTTCAATAAATACCAAAAATTAGAACTTTCAGAATCACAGACTAATTCAGTGGAATTATTACCATAGATTGTTATCATCATTATCATTTATTCAAAATTTATCAAAACACATTTCACTGTTAAAATAATTTCATTTTCCCTATTATTAAATTGTTAACTTCCTATTAAACATTACTAACAAAATGAAGGAACAATACTCATAAATTCAGTATTAATAAAATTTATGCACTTACTTTATAAACTTGACCGTATGTTCCATTACCAACTACTTCAATCAGCTCAAAGATACCTGCAGGTTCCTATAACATGAAAATACAAATTCATTTCTGAAATATAATGTATGTGCATAAGATATTATAATGTACATAGACCTAGCATATATATTATTATACGTAGTATATTATAATACACAGTTAGGCACACACACATATTTATACAAATCCAAACTTCTGAAACATTAATATTCATAGAAAAATATATATAAAAGAAAGTGCATTTAAATCCTATCTTTATTATTTTGTCATAAATTCATGCATTTTGTAACATTCTTAATAAATTATATAAATATGGAATCCATTAATATTATACTGAAATAGACATTAATGAATAAAATGTTGTAATTAAAAGTGACAGAAGTTTTAATGATTGCATTTCTGATAGAAAATAATGCATCAAATACAATCATTTTTCTTAAATCTATAAAAAAGTTTTGGTAAATACAGTATACACATAGTCTTCAAAATGAACAATGAAACTTTAATAACTATGTACAATATGTTCTATATATGACATGACAACTATTAAAACAAATTTACGAAAGTTACTGATAAATCTGTAATTCCCATGATTTCAATGATGCTCGTTCTTAATATAATTATACCTATTTAAGAATGGATATTTTAAACAAAAATTGTACGCTATAGTACCTATTTAGAATATTATACGTCAACGAGTTTAACGATGTATATATAAATCACTTCCGAAATGATTGTCAGTAAAATATAAAGCACATCCGCAACGTGTACAGGTTTTTCCATTTTATCAAACACAATATTAATGACAGAAAAATTCAAGGAGAACTTCTCCCTCCCGTTGTTCTACCGAGAAGAAATAGTCATCGTCTGTCTTACGAGGTTAATTACCGAACATTAGACTTATTTAAAGTGCACGAAGAACTGCCGTATTCAGAGTCATCGGGTATCAAATATAAAATCCCTATACGACAAGATGAATGAAAGTAATACATATTTACGTACCTTCAAAGCGTTTAGATCAATGTCGTCGAGCGAACAGTTGACGCTCGGTGCCAAATTATGCGCCATCTTGATACACCACTTGCGCTCCTCGCGTTATCTCTTGTATTAGAGCTCGCAGAATTCGCCGTCTATCCTTTTTTCTACGTCTCCCGTTGTTGTTCACGTTCTGGCTCTCGATACAAGCAGGACCAAAAATGCAGAGGTGGTGAAAGAGAAATGTATCTTCCCACAATTACACTGTCATGAAACACTATGATCACAAGTGATAATTCTTGTTTAAACGATCCAGCGATATTTTTATGGAAATTTAACCGAGAATAGTCCAGAGAGAGAAGAAACGCGCGTGGCAATAGCACATGGCGTACGGGAACTCTTAACGATCAACGATGAATCAATTCACCAATTAAATTCGAAAACCATGTAGACCTCCATCACGTTTTTTCTGGATTTTTCATAAAATATAGTCACGTCAGTTACGCATAATCACAAACAACTTATTGCCCGGTCACAGCGCCAAGCGCTGGATAGTATCGTCATAACGGAAGCGGCAGAACCGAGCCGAGCCCAAACACAACGGCAACGGCCGTTCTACGTCCTGTCTTACTGCTTACTGCACGCCTCTTTTCTCCCCCCTTACCACTCTCTCGTCTCGCTTTATCTTCTTCGTTCTTAAGCGTGCGCACACATATTTTTCTTTTCTCTCTTCTTTATGCAGAACAAATATTTTCACCGTCTTTGTTTTTCGTGCGCTGCGAGATTGCACACCGCTACTCCTTGACGTCACCGGCCGGGCTAGACCATGATGGCGGCGAGTTTCCCCTTCCTAATTTTCTTATAGTTAGGTATATAAAGCGAACCAAAAATCAACTTTGTCGTTACTACGTTAAATTCTCTGATTGAAAACAAACGTGTTAATACATACTGTTTTCATTCTATGTGCAATTTAAAATCTTTTTAAACACGATTACATATTTTTTTAAGTATGATCACGCGTATATAAAAATGACTGATTACCGGTTTCATATATATTTTTTTTTCACAATAAACTAAATAATCAAATATTAATAAAGACAATAAATTTATTCTCATAAATAAATATATTTTATAAAAACAATACTATCGTTTCTAACTTCCCGTTGCGTTACATTTGTTTTTTTTTACGCACCTGGTTTCCTTCATTTACATGAAAGACGCCTACATGTTATTACAACGAATTTTGTTGTAATAATAACATAATTATAAATAATATTATAATGAATTCAGTCGTAATTTATACTTAAATAGAATTAAATATCGTTTTATAGTACAGTAACTTATTATTCACATTCTATAACCGTAACTATGAATTATGTATATTCGCTATATGTACACTATAAAATACGACCGTATGACATTTGCTATTGTGGATTTTAAATAAAAATAGATTTTAATAAAAAATAGATTGTATTGATCTAACTCGTGTAAAAAATTTTCACGAGCATAGTTATTTAACACAAAGCAGCTAATTTTCGAACTATATTTAAATCTCGAAGAAGCATTTGAACTGTTTGTTTAGTTCGAGGCTGAACATCTGGGATAGGTACAACATCTTCAGGATCCATGGCTTCTAATGCTGCAAGAATATATTAAACATTAAACATCGATTTCTGACATATGCAATGTACAAACGAAGAAATGTACACACCGCAAACTTGTGCTTCAATGGATGTTAATTTTGCGTCTATGTGATTTTGAAAATGCTCTATATGTTCTAATAATCGCATTCGACATTCTCCTGGATCAATTGGTGCTTCTGGTTGCGGTATAAAAGGCTGTAATGTTGATATTTCGTGCTCATTTAATTCTTCGTGGATTTGATTCGCTGATATAGTTGTTTCAGATACATCGTTATCGGACACATCCGTTTGATTTGATAATAAATCTATATATGAAAAATGTAAAATCATATTTTTTCCTGTTATTAAGAAAACATAATTTACGCCCTTTGTTACCTGTATCTACTTTCTCGTCCGAGGTTACTGAAGTGTTACACTTCTCCCCTGAAGTAGTACTTTTTGTGAGAGCATTGAGAAGAATGTGACTCTTATTTTGATTCGTTGAATCTTCTTTCTTAGAGAGAACTTTAGATTCATCGTTAGTTGTATTATCTTCTTCCAAAATTTTCATTAATTCTGAATCCGAAGCTATTGATTTTTCATCATGATCATCTTTTACGGTAAACTTGGTTTCCGTCTTTACTTCAACTCTACGAGATGCATCAGTTACGGTGTCCACAGAATCGTTCGTTACTTTCGTGATTTCTATAATTGGTATTGGCGTTACGTCTGGTTTTTGTATTTCCATCTTCTCCCAGTTTTTTGCCCAAAGATATAATTTTGGATGATCTTTTTTTCTACAATGTACATTTTTTTAGTTTTAGTAACAGTTCCATGTTCTGCAATTCATTTGCAACAGTATTCTAATACTTACTGAGCTACGTTAACTTTTATTCTCAAACTGTGCAGTACTTGTTGTATCTGCAAGAGAGCTGCAACTAAATCATAAGAACGCTTTAACATAGCTGTCCTTTGATTAATTGTATATTGATTTTTTGTTCGGTTAGGTAATGTGGGTAGTTTGCCCTCCTTCATCCAATCTTGATCGTGAAAATACATTTTGGATGGTCGCTGTCGATATGGATTCCGACAAATATAACAAACATATTTTTCGGGAACATCTTTTTCTTTCTCTATTGCATTACAATGACCATGTTGCCAACACAGACAAAGATCACATTGTATCATTAAGCCGTCTTCTTCCATAAATCCACAGGTACAATTTATTATTTCTTCTCTACGTAGTTGTTCCACCTTTATCATTTCACCGTTAATCATCATCATAATTCCTTCATTTTCTAAAAATACAATTTATGTATTGTCAGAAAGAAGGAACTTTATCTTATTAATAAAACCAGAATACATATGTAAATATTTCTTCTAATTCAAAACATTATGAAACATATATTATTGAAATATTAAGCATAAGAAAACAAACAAGTTCTAAATACAAAATCATTGAGCGATATAAATCAATATTTAATAAAACGAAATTAAGAAAAAGATACAAAAAAAAAATAAAGAATATACCTTCCCCATCATTATTTGTATCTCTTTTAGTAATCTCCCCTTTCGAGGGATCATCTTTTTCAAGATGAGAATCGTTTAGTTGACCTAAAGCATAATGAAATAATAAAATAGTAAGCTATTACGTGTTTTACACTGAAGAGAAATTAATGATTTATAAATACACAAAATTAAAAGATATAACAAATATATTACAAAACTATTTACACTGAAATTTATATACCGATCATTAAAAAAACTTACTACTTTGACTATTTTCATCGCTTCTTGAATCTGATTTTCGACGACTATATCTATACACAAGCGTTGTCGGTCCTTCAGTATCCATAGCACTGTCGTCTAGATCGCCATAATCATCTGTAATGTCTTGCATACCTATTATAAAGTAATAATTATTGCGAAATAGTTCCCTTAACCACTGGCGTATAAGAATCAACGAAGTAAAATAATTATAGCACACATTTCTTTATACAGTGAATTAAATGAATTTTACAATAATTTAAAAATACCAAATGTATTATTACCGTGTCGCCTTTTACCCCTACTTGGAACGTCGGAACTATACTCTGATAATTGTCGTTTTCTTTGACCTTTCATTCTATCGATGTGAATACTCTCATCCAACGATTTCGATCTATCGATTCTCTGTATTTCTGACGACGTAGTCGGCCTCACTGGAAGAAGAGTTTTAATACCACTTTGCGTTTTTTCTTCTCTAATTTTCATATCAAATAATGTTCCAGGTGACATTGCACACGAATCTTCTCGTTTTTTCTCATTTTCATCATCCATATCTATACTATGACTAGAAACGGGAGAAATTCTTTCTATCTTAACCTCTTCTGCTTGTACTTCGTTACATTGCTCTATTTGGTCCAATTCGTCCTCTACTTCTGAGACTGTTGGCAAAACTATTGGAGATGCAGGTTGAGTAGAACTTGTTACTGATAGCGATGCAGCATAAAGTGGTTTATCTTGAATAGACTTTTTCTTTGCTAATTTATTATATTTTTCTAATGAATTATTTGATTTTCTCGGAATAATATCATCGATAGATTCTCCAATTGTTCTCGCGTAAGCCAAGTCCGCAACATTTGGAGTAGATCCCAAAAATTTTGAATATTCCGGATGATAATGTTTTATGTGCATTTGTAAAAGATTTTCCTTCCTAAATGTTTTATTACATCCTTGTTTCGGACATTTGTAAGCACTATCCTCCATTTCTACACGTAACCCGCCAATAAAAACAGCTGTTTGAAAATAAAAAAAACCGGCCTTGTTAATGATAAAGAAAGAATTTATACAATGATATTTTTCAGATGCAGCTGCCCACTAAAATCTATTTATTTTAAATTATAATATTTCCGAAACTTTTTGCTAACACTTACAATAAATTGCTCCTAATGTAGATAAGCATGAAAAAGTAAGAAGCCTAATAAAGTAATTAACATATTGAAATAATAAAAAGAAGGAATGTAAAATCTCACCGCCATCCGTAATTGACGTTGTTGGTGCAGGTACTACGGTTGTAACTGATGTATTTGCTGATATAAGCAACGAATCCATTACTGGTGTTGTCTTTGTTTTCGGTAATAAGGTCTTAATTTTTTTGGGTACATCTGTGACAATTTCTTGTTTTAATTTATGCCCATAGCTTCTCTTTTTTCGATGAATACAAAAATCAAATTTTTCTGGATCGAAGTCAAATTGTCCCTGATTTTCCATGAAAGCCCTGATATCATTTCGCGACCTGAACTTCTTCCCGCTTGATTTATGGAGAAATAAGACATCCCATTTGCCCGCGGATGTACCAGCTTTTCTTTGAGTAAAATGTTTCTGCCATCCAGGCGGTAATCTTTTATCCGCGACTATTATTGAGCGACGTGGTCCTATAAACACATTCATGTATGTTCACAAAAATGTGCAACTTACATTTACACCTTAAATAAAATCTTTTATTTTGTTCAATATACCATCATTTCCATCTACTATATAAGATTCAGTGCCCTGAGGCTCTCCATCTATCCATTCAGGTCCTACATCTTCCTCCTGGTCTATTTCATATTTATTAGATATTTCTTTCTTATTCTTTTTTACATAAGTTTTCACTTTTGATACGTTAGTATCAAATCCTCGCAACAAATCTGTGCCTGGATCATAACATGGACCAAACAAAGTACCATCTAAATCAATTTTATTTTCTTGAAAGCAATCACCATTTTCATTCATTACGACTCCTTCCTTTTTTGTTAATTTATCTGCTTCATTTTTTAACCGTTTACGAGAGTGTGTATGAAACAACTCCATTACTATATGCTTCCGTTTCTTATCTCTTCTTTCTTGTTTACTTCCTATGTACTCTTCAGTTTGAGACAGTTGCTATTAAAATAAACTTCTACTTTATATTCCATACTATTATTTCTACTAAAAGTTAATGCCATAATTCAGTTTCCAAACTATTATTGTAATTACAACATAATTTATCATATTGAATCTTTATATTTCAATTACCATGAAAATCACAACATTAAAATTATATAAATTATAAAGAAAAAAAAAATTCATTTAAGCTTATAAATTGTGAAAGTTCATAATGCTATGAAATACTTCAGTAATAAATATTAAAACATTTGTAAAATACATTTCTAATTACTTTTATGATAATTGCAAGTCCATGAAAAAATGACTTTTAATGAATACTTTGTTCACTATTTAAATTAATAAATCAAATCAACTTTGTTTATATTTTAAAACATTGTAAAAGTAACGTACAAAAAAAATGATTAAACATAATTTGTTAAATCTTATATTAATGATAGTACAACATAACCTCACAAACTAAATTTATACCTTTGTGGATGTTGCAGCGATTTTTGTCATTTTTGACGATTTAACAGTTTTTGTGTATCCATCGTCAAACAGTACATCGTATCTATCTGTAAAAATAATTAATTTTACATTAAAAAAGCACTAGTCGTCGATTAAAAAATATCCTGCCAGAAGTAAGAAATGTCAAACTAGTAATGTAGGGAACAGTCTGTTTCTTTCACACGTACATAGTTAAGGTTAGGTCGCTTACCATTTCCTAACACCGCATTTACTTTCGCTGGATATTTTCTCCCGTCGGCCCACGTAGCGAGAATCCTTTCTCCCACTGAAAAACCTTTCATTTTCGTTTCCCTAAAGGTATTAAATCTTTTCATTATCATTCGCGAAAATATTTTGTCAGCCATTATGATAAATATTAAATAAAAACATTAAAGAAACAATTTTTTTCTGTAACCAATAATTTTGTTTCATGAAATGAAATTGCTTTGCAAAAATAAGGTATTTACAAAATTTTAACATACACATATTCTATTTTATATTTCGTTTTTCCAGATGTATGACGTTAATACCAATTATATGTATTATACTTTGTTTTTTGCTACTATAAAAAGGGAACCCAATAAAAAAAATGGCTCTTCAAAAACTCTTCTTACATTTACATTGAATTAACTATTATATTAATATATTTCATGAAAAAAATAGTTTGAACATCTCAATTTGCGTGTATATGTGCATGGATAGTTTTATACATATAAATAATTTGAAAATAAAATGTAGGTTACTATGTAAACAAAATCATTTTTGTTTCTATTTTAAATAGTTTGACAAATATTTCTTTCGTAACTAAATATGATAGAAATGCACAGATTTAAATACAAAGGTAAGAAAAGAACAGAGCTTTTTAAAATCCTATAAAGAACAAAATAGTTTAGCAAAGTTTACCCTTAAAGATACAAATTTTTCACTCATTTGATAATTATGCAATACCTACTTACGGAGATGGTAGATCCCAAGTTTGTTCGCTTTAAAAAAAATAAATAAATAAATAAAAAAAAGAAGAAACAACACACAATCAAGTTATAGAAAGTATACCTTAACTTATAAAATAAATTAGTCTACAAAACATTTCTATTGGAATCTTTTTATTACTTTCTTTCTTTTTATCAAGTTAAATAACTTTATTCAGATTTTCACAAATTAATATGATTAGTAAATCCTTAACTGTCTACTCACTTTGACTGTGATTGTAACACACGTAATCTAGAACTATCCATAGGTATCCATTCGTCAAATCTTGAGCTCCACTTGTCAAAATGTATCAAGACTTCTCTTTCTTCCCAATCAGTTTCAACTACTTTAGCCGAATACCTACAACATAAGAACAACAATCATTTATACAATCTGCTTTCGATATTTATGAAAAAGAAACATAATTAAATTATCAATTACTAATGATACTTACCATTTTTCATTGAAATCTTTTGCTTCTAATTTAGCTCCAGGAAAAAACGTTAATCCATCACGATTTAATATCTTTGCCTTTAAGTCTTCTGATTTACCAAATGTTTTCTCATCTTCTATTTTAATATGTTTTAACTCTTCTTTAATAGCCAATTCTTTGTGTATATGTTTCATTGCTACATCTGATTCTACAATTCCTAATTGAACAGCCATAGTATTTACTTCCATTTCTAAATTTTCATGTATTTCTTTCTTTATGGAAGACATAGTTTCTACTTTTGCAGTTAAAGCTTTGCAGTCGTTATCAACTATTTCTGTTGGGTCTATCAAGTTGAGAATGGCAGCAGACGAATCCGGTTGAGAAGAGCATATTTCTTCACAGCTACCTGATTTTGGTGTTCTTGCTTCAGATAATTGCGGCAAAATAGATTGTTCTAAGTTTAAAATTTCAGAATTAATAAGATCTAGATCTTCCTGTGCATACGAAGTTGATGATTTCACAGACATAATCACGGGATCTGTAAAAACAAACCTAAACATCAAGTAATTGAAAAGTTAAAAAAAAAAATAAATATATTTGAGTGACAATATTTTCGATTAGTTTAATGTTTAATAAACTCCGTTAAGTAAAAAATGAAAATTTTTTCTATGAGCACATGTGCATAAGTGTACACTCATAAATTGGTAAATTTAAAAATACCGCGTGTAAATGGAACACGATGTATGATACTAAATAGAAACAGTCAATAAGAAAGCAAGGTAGGATACAAGGAAGGTAAGAAAGTGGTTTGTAGATGTACAGAATACTCTAACAGAGTCTTTGTATTTGACAATACTGTGTACTTCCTTTGTAAAGAATAAAGAGTATCGAATTTATATATGCTGTACGTACCCGGATGATTATCATAATCTGCAAAAACCGATGGAACACTGCCTTTACGTAGAAGTAACTTATGCCCCTTAGCGGCTTCGTAATCAGCTCGTTTAAAATGTCTATGGCAGACAACCTGACCCGGTGAAGGTTTGAAACTCGCTTCAAATCCACCACTGGTCAACCACCTGCTCCTTAGAGCAATATCCTTTGGAAATTTATGAAGCGGTAACCCCTTAGCACGCGCTTCTTGTACATCAGCCTCGCAGCTACGCACACAACATTTGCGCGCCATTCTCATCGCCCCCACAGGCGGTATTCTTTTACCACGCGACCGCGGTATACGCCGCCGCTTCATTTACACCGGTACTACATAGCAACGTATCACAAGAAAACATTTGCCAAGTTACGCGTCGTAAGAATAAGATGTGGCCGCAAGACGAACAAATTGCGTGCTCGATTGCCTTGACACGCACCCTTCTGACTTGGAAGAAACTCGAATACTTAGTCGATTTGTAACGTTCACAAAACCACTAGAATCACTGATGCAACTACGGACACCGTACTAATCGATTCACACGTTCAAGCAACGTCGACTCGAATGTATTTCGATGTCGCTGCGAGAAATCGAGTATATACGCATAAGTTACTCATTAAATAAATTTCTGGTCATATAGCGCCCTCTTTTGATTTTCATGAAAACAAACTTATATATTTTACAATAGCGAAACATTAATATGTCTTCTATTTATGTTATTGCATAATAATATATTCGTTAAACTATAATACTTTTCATATTATACTAATTTATTCTTGATAAAAGTATTGAAACACGTAACTGAAATACAAAATTTCAAATAAAACAGTTTTGCATAGGTATTTCGACCAATGAAAATATGAACTCAAATAAACAAAACCACGTGATTGCGACAGAATCAATTATTGGCCCGCTATTGGTCCGCTGTGTCTGGCCAGGAATATATTGTACAATAGATACGACGAATAGTCGATAATTATGTAATAAATATATTTTATTTGATATCTTTATGTATTTTCTCTTATTGATTATTATACATAAATAGTAACTTATATAACTTCTGTATTTATTCGAAAAACAGCTTTTTAGTTTTATCTCAAACCACGTGACCCTATTTGACTAACTTTTCTTTTCTTTGAACAAAATATAATTGAACTCTTTAACTATACTACGCTCAACACTGACTTCATGTAAATAAAACCACATAGTTGCAAGAGAAAATTTCATTGATCTGCTGTGTTTTTAACCAGGATTATATCATGGTTCGACCTTAAGACTATATATATGTAATATATATATATGTATATATATATATAATACGCAATTACTGCGCAATTAATCTAAATATATAACTTTTATTTAAAAAAAACAACTAATCAACGCTAACTTCCATTAACTAAAGTCCACAAGTTCTAGATAGTTCACACCACCCTGAGTTAAGTTCCCTTCCTCGATGATGTTGCGCGTCCGGCGGCGTATTTCCGAAACTTCGTAGGGAATGCGGCGGGGAACGCTGCCCGTGGAGTGCTAAGGCACTCTGCTCCTTGGACGCGGGAGTTTCAAACGGAGATCGCTAGATAAGGAAAATAATAAATGGATACAACGATTTTAACACACGTAAATAGAACTTTAATTATTCAATAAAGGAATATAAAACAAAACAACCAAGATTTCGCAGGAATCTTGTAACCCGTTCGTACACTTCCGCTCTCTTAATTCAAGATGCTTCTCTCTTTGCCGATTCAACTCTATTAACTAACTCAAATAATACAAGTACGATCTCGCTTATGTTACAATGCTACGTCCGTTCACTTTCGATCTCCGGATTCAAGTGTCGCTCTCCGTTCGGTCGAGGCCCAGCCCACACGTAGGCCCCTCCAGACCGTCCCTTCCTTTATTCGGGCCTGGCGCAAAACTCTCGCACGCGCGTTCCTCGGCATACCCCCCGATCCCTCGAGAACGGTCCTCTACGGCACGTGGCCGTTATCGGCTTTTGCACGCAGCTCGTTTCCGGCAATCGATAGCGCACGGCCCAAGTTCCTGGAATTACACACCTAGGAGAAGGGATCAAAGGGGAGCTCACGACTATCCAAACATCCGTCTCCAATAAATTATTGGCTAATCTATAACCCGAAGTGAAGTCATTAAAAGAATCTCTAACTACTTTTAAACCGTAGAATTGGCGCGGACTCCACCTTGTCTCCCTTTCCTATTACATTCGTGTAATCTGATTTAAACCTCGCGCCCCCCAGAGCTTCTGCTACACGGCGCCAGGCGGCGGCCGCAACAATGAATACCATTAAAAAATAAAGGAAAGTTTCCTGAATATCTCTAGGTATATGTGGTTATTAAGTTTTTGATTCTGAATTTCTGAAACGTTGTGAAACTTGTTGCGAATGATTATCAAAGTTTGAAAAAGTGCTGAAGTACAAAGGTAGTCGATAAGTAGCATTTTGAAGAAAAGTTCGTTAACCAGCACGAAATCTATAATGTATATGTTAACATATATATGTAGATAATAGAAAGATAATATGTAATCCCTTTAATGTTTTAATTAAATAAATATGAATATAAATTACGTATATTATTACTTCTGCAATGAGTATCAAAAATGGCTCGGTTACCCAGCCCATTTTTTTTACCTTATTAATTAGTACCGAAAAGGTTAACGGAAATTTCAATATTAATTTTGTACACCAGGTTTCATTTTTAAACACTGTTCTAAACAATGTTGAAGTTTCATGTGCTTTTCGAATTAATTTATTTATAAAAATAAGGTAAACATAAAACAGTAACAGTAAAGTAACAAAGGCGACTGTATAATATGTATTTGTTGTAAACGAAAAGGAAGATTCACCATGATGATCTAAAACATCTAAATATCTATTTTCTAATGTTTCATTCAAAATTTTAGGACTACATTGAGTAATCTATATTTATTTTAAGGACAATGTCTTTCACACATATTGTATATACAATACTTTTTGTATTATGTCTTGGTAAGGCAGACACAAATAGTTTAAGTAAGTTGTGTCTGTTTTTTTCAAAAAGATAATTGTATAATTTTGTATAAATGAGGTATATGTACCATGTTTCCATGTAGATCCTAGCGACATAGTAATTGTGATATTAAGTCAAAAGGAAGGCTATCATGCAGCACATGCTGATATTTTAAAGAAGGGTATTTTGGAACAGTCTGATATCCTTGATAAAGTATGTGTAATACATACGTATTTTATATTTATGTTATTTGAACAACTTTTTATCACATTCCACCAATGTTTAGTATATTAAATATAATTTATCTTTATATTAGGATCCACCAAAAATTTTATTGTCTCATGAATTAAATATTAATGGGTCGTGGACAATAATACCATTACTAAATCATTTATTAGATACATATTCAACTTCAAGGTGGTTTTTCTTTTGTCTGGAGAACACTGTAATTAGACTGAGTAAACTGTTGAGTACTTTGTCTAAATACAAGGAGAATAAAGTATGTTATTACAACACGAAATGTATTAATTTTATGAGCAATTATTTTAGCAATTTCTTATTGTAGAATATATGGATTGGTCATGCACTGTATGATCATGAACCAACTATCATACATCATTTTGCAGACCACAAAAAATTTAAATATCCACATATTGCATCAGGTTTTGCAATAACATCAACTTTGGGAAACAGGTACATTACACAAGAATACTTTATCACATATTTTGTGCTTTATACGTTTTATTTGAATAATGAACATGAAATGTTTTCTTTTTCAGTTTAGTGAAAAAAATTGATGAAGGTGAAAGACCCAAAGATGACTTTTCAATCGATGCATCATATGAGTTTGCATCTTTTGTTTTAAAAGTCGATAAAGGGGTACGATTAACGCATGCATCTGAACTGTGTATTGTATCCAGTACAAATTGTGCCACGTATCCAAGATATTTTCATCCATGTGTAAGTCAATATTTTTATATACACTATTTATAGAGCTTGTCAATTTAGAAAAAATCTAGCAAATGACCAAAATATAATAGAACAAGAGAACTATATCAAATATGGTTCTATCAAAATGATCACTTAAATAAACAGTGATATTATGTTATATGAAATCTTTTCTAAGTTACTGAATTATATTATTCTACTGAATATTATGTTATTCTAAACGAAGCTTTCGTCCGTGTCTTCCGAAAACGTATATTTTGCTGTAAAAACCTGTGCAAAATATCACGTCGAGAGGGTTTCAGTTATTAAGAAGACATGGGCAAAATATACTAAAAACATCAGATATTTTAGCGACGTTACTGGTACGATAAATTTTATTATACGGCTAATTAAACAATGTGTTGCGTGTATTGATCATTGTTAAGTGATGTGCCTTTTTCTAGTATAGACAAACATTTACCCGAAGCTTTCGTTGTGCCAAACACAACACACGGACACTGTGAAAAGACTTATAATATTCTAGTAGAGGTGGACAAAATATTAGAGAAAAAAGATTTGAGTTGGTTGATAATTAGCGACGACGATACAATTTTTAGGTAAATTATTTCGTTATGTAGCACGTAGGGCGAATTCTTCGTGCAAAATTATATCGAAAGTTTGAAATGAAATTTTTCAATATGTCCCAAAGAGTTGATTCAAGTACAGAAAGATGCAGTTCTATTGAGAAAAACGCATTTGCACTCTTTAGTGCTCTTTAAACTATTCCTGTTGCGAGACTCGATTTATATATCAAACAATGTACGATTTTAATAGCATATTGTTTATTTAATATTAGCGTAGCGCGGTTGTTACGTTTACTGACATGCTACAACCCAAAAACACCAATTGCAATTGGGGAACGATACGGTTTCCGATTGTGGGATAATCTTTATGGGTACGAATACCTAACGAGCGGGGCTGGTCTTGCCTTGTCCAGATCTTTAGTTCGTGAAATGATACAACCAGGCAGGTGTGATTGTCCAACATCTACAACCCCGGATGATATGTATCTGTTTGGTATATGTTTAGCACGAATTGGAGTACAACCTGTACATTCACCATTGTTCCATCAAGTACGTCGTAATTATTGATAGACGTGATAGATTGTGTTACGATTATAAAATTACACAAAAGATGGGACCACGGAAAATATTTTGTAGCATAATATAATTTTTACAGGCGCGTCCTTTAGATTATGCAACTGCCTATCTTGCTTCGCAAGAACCTGTATCTTTCCACAAGTTTTGGATGCTTGAGCCAGAAACGGTTTACGACGAATGGTTCGCAGAAGCAGACAAATCGTTAATCACAAGTAAAACACACACGGAGTTATGATGTCAGTTACGATGTTGATACGTTATTATATAATCAGTACTTAATAACAGTACTGTACGGGGTATTTTAATTTAGACGTCAATTTTTTTTTTTTAAGATTCTAGACTAGAATACCCCCTTAAGAATACAAAAAAAAAATACGATTATTCGGAAGTAGTACTAAACAATGCAAATAAAAGCATTTATTTTACCTTACTTTCTCGAGGCTGTCGCGCGCGGACTAAGACTTTTTATAAATTTTGTACGAACGTTATAGTAAAATAGTTTTTTATTGTCCCGATGTATCGATATAACATAAAAATATTAAAAATATAATAAAAAAATTAATTATACGTATATACATGTTATAAATTCGATCGTATTATTTCTTTCCACCATGATGGCCGTTCGAAGTTTTCTTTGTCTTTGAAAATCCACTCTTTGATATGTTTATACACCTATGTAGAAAATAATATTAGCAAACGAGCGGATTAACACATTGACTGTCAGACAATATTTACATTAATTTTTATAGCTGAATTCTTTCATGTATTTATCATTTATAATAATATAATAGATAAATGTCAATCGATGTGTTAAACAATGAAAGATAAATAGATATCAACGTACCTCGCCATCGGCCATTCCTAACGGTGAATTTAGGATAAAATCTGGTGGCGCCAAAACATCGACTAGAGCCACAGCTTCTGGAACCAATTCTCTGCACAAGGTCACGATGCCTTCTCGTACTAAGTTATCCATGTTACTTTTAGGCGTTGCATAACCACCCGCATAAAAGTCCCCTAATCTCTTTTCCACTGCAACTGCTCCGTAAAGTGAACACAATTTTGTTAACACATTGCGCTCCTCTGGTCTCCACGCGGAATTCCGTGTGGACTCTATGAAGTATTCCATTATGGAATGCTGCAAAATAAATCCCAATGAAACATATCAGATATACAGCAGACAGTTTCTGATGCTGAGAATAAAATATTACCTGTCCATACAATAGAGACGAAGTCTGCGCGAAGAATACTTGCGTATTGTTTCTAATTTCGAAATCATTAAAACCTTTGCTTCTTAAATTTTGTACGTGTTCGTGCGTTCTTTTTAAGTAGTAGCATATTAGCCATTTGCAGGATAAAGATAAATCTGTAGGGAATAAATCATAGCGAGCATAGCATTGAGAAATCTCTGATAAACGTTTGGAAAAGTACAGATGGTTACGTACTTTCTGGTTTTAACGTTTCATGAATTGTCGTACAAGAGAATTTTTGCAGTAAAATGTCTTTGGCATCGTTTAGGAAATCTATTGACCTAAGAGGACAATTTATGGGCTTTCCATTGAGCATGTTCGACCATTGGTTCAGCAACCAATTACTGGATTGTTGAATTAATACGTTGTTCTCTCCCTCGTAGGTACAGTTTGCATCGTTTTCAGCTCTTAAATCACCCAGACGCGACACTAGCAACGATAAGTAAAAACTAAATGACGTAACAGACTCGTAAAATGTTTTAGAGTATAACCGAGCTAGGAGCGATTCTACGCGAAAAAATAAGTCGGAAACAAAATTCAAATTTTTTCATTCGAGCTACCCGAACTGTTAGAAGAATTACCACTGTCTATTGTTCATAACAGTAACTATATTTGTTTCATGGTTTACATACTTTTCAAGTATCCGTGCCCGCCGCAGGATTCTCTGCAATCCTGAATAATATCTCTGCTAGTCCATGAACACAGCGGTTTGGACGCAGAAGACAATGCATGAATTTCCATACCTTCGCTATCGATCTGATCATGGTTTTCCGGATTCACGAGTTTCATTTGAAACTCAAACATCTGTTGCACAAATTTGGCGGAAAATATTTTTATCGCGTACGTCTCCGCCAAGTGAGGGAACAGTCGCCATTGCTGCACGATTACATTAAAGTTTTATTATTTCGTTTTATTTGCCGGGCTTTTAATACGACGCGTTTAAATACCTGCGCTTGATATTCGATAACCGGCCATTCCTCGGATTCTGACGGTCCAAATTGTTTCCTTACCGCGCAATAACGAATAGCGATAACTATAGCAACGGAGGCTAAATTTGCGCATATAGACGTGATCGTGACTCGGCCAGAAGACAATGCACCCAACGACGCGCCTACACGAATTAAAATCAATTTTTACAATAAAACTACGAATCGACCGGCACACTTTTCGTTTCGGATTCTCACCAAATCTTTTGTTTTTATTCTTTACGGCCGACACGTAATTTCCATCCTCCGTGACTTCTGCCGTTCGATTCAACAAAGAATTACGAGGGATACGGTAGTTATTGAACATTATGAATCCATTGTCCACGCCGTTCATCGCTATTTTTTCACCCATATCGCCGACAGTAACGCCGGGTAGAGGCATATGTGTCTCTGGATTACGGATAGGCACGATGAAAGTGTGAAGGCCATGATTTCTACCATCCGGCGTGATCAATTGTGCAAAGACGACAGAGTGCGTTGCAGTTTTTCCTAAAGATATCAAACTTACTTTGCTCGTCCGAAAACGTTACTTGGCGCGCTATAAAGATTAGTTTCATTCTATTCACCTAAACCACCGGCCCAACATTTAGCAGCTTCAAAGTCGGGGGAGTGTAAAATGAAGCTTTTTGAATTCGGATCGTACGTTGCCGTGGTTCTTATGCCTTTTGCGTTTGTTCCGTGGGATATCTCCGTTAACGCGAAACAGCACATGTACTGAAGGAAATAGCGTTAGGCGTTATGCGGTAGACGAAATTTCTTCAGGATTCTTCGGTCGAAAAATGGCAAACGCGATTAACAGATTCACTTTCCTGCGTGCTTACCTTCCCATCTTCAATCTTCTCTGCGACGTCATACTGATCTTTAGAACCTAAAGCGATAAATGTGGTTGGCACCAGGCCTTGCATTATACCTACTTTAATCGGTATCGAGGCGTCATATTGGAAGAGAATATTGAACCAGTGCATATGGGTGATTGGATTCTGTAAAAAACTTGCATACAATCGAAACCTTAATATTTCCTTAATCAGTAATAATGATAATAACTATTTACTGTAATATTGTTATCTCTCAGCGCCCTGATTCGAGCATTGCAAAGCTTTCGTTCCTCGTCCAACGTATGACAAACGCGTCTTTGAAATATCGGTGATTTTTTAATAAAATCCCACAGACTGTTCTGAAATTATACCGGATTGATACCGAAGATTATCTACGATTATAATGGAATCGTTTATGACGTACCTGATAGTACACAAACTCCTCTCCTTCTAAATTGAGTTTTAGTAATTTCCAGTCGAACGTTGCACGTTTTCTGTAAGAATCCAACCGACCCTTCGGAAAGTCAGCGATCAGAGATTTCATCTTCATCGAGTTTATGTTTCGGAATACCTACACATTAAAGCTAACGTAAAATTAACGCAGATATTAATGTTCTGATTGACAAGACTCGTCGCGGAGTTTGGACCGATTTTATCGCGAATTCGATAAGAGATACGAAAAAAAAGCAGTAGAGAGAAAAGTTTTACTTTTTCCATGAGAATAAAAAATAAAGCCGAATGGTTACAGCGGAACGCGAGTTAGTTATTCATTACTGTAACAATGGAGAAAGTTGTAGTGAAATTTCAAAAATTGTTGGCGGAAACAAGAGTACGATTCAGTGTATAATTAAAAGTTAAAAAAAATACGATCGTGTATCGAACAAACTAAAAATAATATCGGGCAAAAAGTTGAATGCACGAAACGAACGGTGTACCAAAATTGGCAGATGAAATTTCAAAATATTTTTTATAAAAATAAGCGAATCTACTGCCAGAAGAAAGAATTATTGTTAATAATATGGAATATTATTTGTTTCTTTCTAAGAATGATTTTTTTCTTATCGTAAAAAACTTTTTTTAACCGTTACGAAGTAGCAGCTTATTCGAAAGTATACTGAATACTATGTGTATCAGTCTATTTAGTTTGCATCGAAAGTTCGTTCACGTATGCATAATACATAAACTGATAATGGACGCGACTTAACGAACTCGTCACTTCATTAATAGTCGATTAATTTGAGGAAAGCGATGTATCATCAGAGTTTTATCTAACAATATTTACTGAACCCTTTTCATTCAGTTTCCTCATCCTGTTTCATAAGTCCATGATAATCATCGTGTCTAAGTACTCATTTGATAGTAGTTTCGCTTATTCGTATATCTAAATATTTTTCAATTTTATCTACTAATTAGCTGGTCGGTTAAGAGAGATTCAACTGTAATTTATTCCTGACTCCTTATTTATTTTCATAATCCGTGTAAAATGAAACTATGTTAAGGGGCCATTCTATCTTGTTGGCAAAATACATGTTTCTTTGTGATTTTTTTTGCGGGCTATTAAAGAGCAATTAATTTCCGGATGTTGTAGATACATTTATTATATATTTAGCTATATTTACGAATTTTTGCAACGCATAATATCTATTGATTACGCTGTCTTTGTTGATCAACAAACAACAAGAAAAATGTAGTTTCACGTCCAGTTGTTATACCTGCGCGCGGTACATTTCACCAGGCTATACCTTCGTTAGTTTTTCAAATTTCAATTTAATATTTGGTAGACATATTTTCGAGACTACATACTAAAAGAAAATGCAAAAAAAAATTCAATTTTTTAAACCCCACAAAGTAGAAAGGCAACTTAAAGTTTAACGTCCAATTATACCTGCGCGTGGTACATTACAGCAGGCTATAACTTCATTAGTTTTCAGAATTTCATACCAAAAGAAAACGTAAAAAAAGAAATTCGATTTTTTAAATCCCACAAAGTAGAAAGGCCCCGTAAGTTACACGATAAAGTATTCAACGGGTCGTAAGGTCGTTTTACAATTTGAAATAAGAATGAATATGACCCATGACCTCCTCGAAACTTACACGAACGATACCATTAAACTCCATTGTATTATTGATTGCATCGCTTATGCGACTTAATTTGCCTGGAAACGAGATTCCTAAATAATTCCATTTACTCAATCGATAGAACAAATTAAAAAGGTCATCGAGAGTCGATACATATTGGGGCACGTTGCCTCAAAAGTTTTATTCGAGTCTGAACAATGATCCTCGTTGTTCTGTTCCTTCAAATCGCCTTCGTGTTTGGGATAAGGTACTGTCAACCATAAAATCTGTCTTAAAATCGTCGTAACAAAGAACGTTTAGTTAACTGGAATTTTTATTGTACAGTGGATTCCATAGAGAGTATCAATGCGCGAGAAACGACGAAAACTTGAAATCCGTCATCGAAAAGATAATAGAAGAAATCATGGAGAAATCTAGTTGCATTGTTTTTCTAACCGATTCTACTTATCGAACGCTCGTGGACATTCCCCGCGTCCAGGGTTCTTCATTTGTATCCAAATACGAGGTAAGGCTAATTCAAATGTTATGCAAATTCTTCCTATATAAGCGTTTATTTATAGATAATACTGCGCGACAATGAGCAATTTTCCAGACCGAGAAAACGAATTAAAAAAATTTTAATCGACAGCAAAATGATCGGTTGCAACGCGTACGTTATACTGATCGCCAATGGTTTCTTGGCGTCTGAATTTTTGCTATATACAGAAAGGTGTATAAACAGTATTACTATTTATTAATATACGATATTTAGTTAACAGAATTAGCTATTTGGTGAACCTTTTTAGGATTGTTGTGCAATTGTTCTAAATTCGGATTTATCTTTCTCTTGTTTTAATACGTGGAGAAACACTCAGCTTAACTAAGTGTAATTAAAATACGGTGATATGAATTTATGCTAACAAACAAAGAAATCTATCATCGTTTCTCGGTTTTAGCGAACGTCTGATCAACACTCGAGGGCTGTTCCTGTTCTTATACGATTACCGTCTGTTTCAACCAAATTTGCATCACATATGGAACAGAATAATCAACGTGGTTTTCGTGCGTCAATACGACGCGTACAATCATCGATCCGGGGAAAAAGTATACAATGAAAAAATCGATCTTGACACTGTCTACTTCCCAGCTATCAGGAAGACATTTACTGCGACTAAATGCATAGACACTTGGTATCGAGGAAAATTGCGCCACGGTACCAATCATTTCATAGAGAAAATAAGAAATCTACAAAAGAAGAGCTTACGGTTAGCGTGAAAAAAATTAATTGCAATTTCAAGACGTTGTTAAAGCTTTCACTTCAATTTTAGAATTGCTGTTTTCGAGCACATCCCGGCAGTGACGGAGAAATCAAGAGCTTATTATGATAATCGACCGAGCGAAAGAACGGAAGCTCTGGGAATAGAATTCGAAGTATGTACTGTACGAAACATTTATCGTTCCACGTTTCGTATCGGTAATAGTTAATTTCAGTTGATACAGATTATATCGAAGGCGATGAACTTCAAACCAAAGTACTATATGCCACCGAACATAACTTCCGAGAAATGGGGTGTCAAGAGTGACAATCAAACGTACACGGGTCTCATAAGCGAGGCCGTAGAAGGGAAAGCTGCGTTTTATTTGGGCGATTTGCATTACACGTTGCGTCATTTGAATTATTTTGATTTAACTATACCGTACAACACGGAATGTCTCACTTTTCTAACGCCAGAATCACTGACTGAAAATTCATGGAAACTTCTGATACTTCCGTTCAAGTACGAGAGTAAACAGAAATTAATTGTTTCTATAATTGTAAATGTTTGTACAGCGCTACAGATATAAATGTAACAAAAATATATTTATTTTTTTTTCAGATTGTACACTTGGATCGCGATTATCTTCACTTTACTTTTTGGAAGCGTTGCAGTTTACTTCTTATCACTGTCCTACAAGAAACATATAATTTTTTACAACAATAAAACGTGCATTCAGACTAAGTCGACGAAGAAGAACATTAAGGGACTGTATTTGTTTACAGAAATACAAAATAGTATGTTATATACTTATAGCATGCTGTTTCAAGTTTCTTTACCCAAATTGCCAAACCCTTGGGCCGTACGAGTATTTATTGCGTGGTGGTGGATTTATAGTATTCTGGTTGCAGTGGCCTATCGCGCTAGCATGACTGCCGCCCTTGCAAATCCAGTAACCAGGTAAAAATTAATTTTTAACATATTCGGGGATGAGAGAAAGAAGGTGAACGCGAACGTCTTTACATTTTTTTTTTGAAACAACCACTGGTCAATTGAACTAATGAAATCGATTATAACTTCCATATAGAGTTACCATCGATACATTGGCTCAACTTGCGAAGAGTTCGATCGGAGTTGGAGGATGGAACGAAGACAGTAAAGATTTCTTCCTAATATCGTCGGATCTCAGTAGTCAAAAAATTGGTGGTAAGTTTCAATTCGTCAAAAACGAGGAAGAAGCTATCGAGAAAGTTGTAAATGGATCATTCTGTTACTACGAGAACTCTTATTTGCTTCGGCATGCTCGCGTAAAAAGGCAAATAATCAAGGAACAAGAGAAGGAAAATAAAACTACAGAGAATTTATGGTTGAAACATAATCTACACATCATGGAGGAATGTGCTATTAAAATGCCCATAGCTATTGGCATGGAAAAGAATTCGCCGTTAAAACCACGCGTCGATGCTTTGGTACATTTTATTTTTTATTAAGAATTATAATAAAATTAAAAAATGAGATTATTTAACACCAATGTTTTTTTATATAAAATGGATCCAGGTAAGGCATGCAATAGAAACTGGTTTGGTCGAGAAATGGTTAAGCGATGTTACGGAATGGTCGAAAATAACGGAGACACGACAAGAAACCAAATCTGAAAAAGCATTGGTTAACCTTCACAAACTTCAAGGTGCTTTCATTGCTATCGCGACAGGTTATATGTTAGCTTTCGTAGTATTAATAGGAGAAATTTTATACTGGAAACATGTTGTTTTGAAGGATCCAAAGTTCGACAAATATCATTTGGATGTATTCTATAATATTCCTGTTAATCCTAAAATCTAAGCAAATAATTCAAATGACACTCTGTTCTATAATGTCCAAATTCATGTAATATGTTTCTGTTTCAAAGAGTGAAGCAAAACAGTGCATGAAGGAAGTATCTTTCGATAGAATGAGCTTGTTCATAAATGCTAATGTAAGATGCAAATGTACTCTTCATTGAAGACAGAGTATAACATCTGGTACTTTCTTGTCTTTGATGATATAAATTATTCTAATACAAAGCACCATCAATGTAATATATTGGAATTGGATCCAACAGAGCTTTTTCAATATCCGATTGGAAAATTATATATTCTAATGGTGAATAAACTTTTAATCCCAAAGTCACAATAACAACGAAAATATTAATTTCGAATTTCATGTAATAACACAAACAGTGCCAAATAAATAATCCTGGCTGAAATGTCTAGTATCTTCAAAGATTTGCATCAAGTTAGGTTAGGTTTTCGCCAATTTTAAAACAATTATGTCTCGAGTCACAGGTAAGTCCAATAAAAAGCAATTACATATACGGATACAACACAACAAAATTAACGTTATGTGTTCTGTGAATTTATCATACGTTTTTATACATGTCGAACGCCCTTGAAGGTTATTCTTAACATTTGTTCAAATTATGTAAGGATTACAAATATTTGACAGTTTGATTTTTAATTTTTTATAGTATTCCTAATGATATTAACGTTACTTAGCAATTTACGAGTATTAGAGTTTATTAACGGTAAATATTTTAAGATTCGTGTGTCACCAGTGACCGACACGGCCTAAACAGAATGATTAAGTGATACCGGTATCAATTGCGGTACTTAACATGTCAAAAATGACCTTTTAAAAGACGTAAAGCTAGACTAGAATTCTTATAACAAGTTTCATTTGTTTATAGATTATATACGCGTAATCAACGTAACTACTGCAATATAGTTAGTATTTACGAACATATCTAAGAATTCATAAGTCGTTTCTATAATAATGCAAAAATTACGTACCAAATTACAAGTAGAACTGTATGTATTCTTCTTCTGTTATTTATGTCACTTACAATGAAACAGTTACTGATGCTATAAATCACTTGACGGAAGCATTATAACACGTCAAACGTACGTCCTTTTACTTCGTAAAAATTTCTATAAATCACAACAAAAACGAGATCTATCTTATGTAAACCAAACGTCATTTGCTACAACTAAATAACATCCTAAATATATTTCTCTTTTTATTGTTCTACTCGATCTTTTTATATATTTTTTCTTATCGACTTTTTCATTACAGAACTGTAATTATTGTACGTAAATCGTAATTCTATAAGATAAATACATACCGATTTAAAATTTATATTCATTATTCGTTAATAAAATTTGCTTAATTTTGTTGAAAGTATTAACTCTGAAAGTGAAATATTAAAGAACATAAATCTGGATAGAATGTATAAATTTTGATAAGGCTATAGAGATAGATATTATAACAAATTTTAAATTACGTAGTTTTTAATTGTCTAAAAATTAAATTTTAGCCTCGTAGAAAATTTTACAGGTATTTGCCTGGCAATCAACGTGTTACAACGTTAGATGGCGAATCATAGCAACGCTTTTAGTAATATAATTAGTGAAATTTTACAAGTTAAAAGCTACGAGCAGTATGCTTTGCTGAATCACGAACACAATACGCAACCAACAATACTTGATCTCCACGATCAACAGGTAGGTGTCACGACTAAAACGAAGTTTGTAAATTTTTGTACACTATTCTCTTACTGTACACTTAAAATAATACAAGAATTATATAAAACTATGTTTTGTTATACAAGTATACCACGAAATAACAAACTTTAACGTGTGTACTTTCTTTCTTTTTATTTCTATCTATATATTGTTTTTCGTTCCATATGCATCGGTTAGATGTCGCCCTGATGCAGTTCATAAAGAAGGCGGCTGTGGAGTCGCCACGGACTCTCAAAAACAAACCGGTGTACCGTAGTTGTTACGAATTAGCGTGGTCGCAAGTTTCTTCTGCCATCAAAACGTCGATTTTGCGTATAGTGTGAACAAGTATTTACAAAGGGACTCGACTTTCGGTGTGAGGTTGGCCTGTTAACGATTCTACGACACAATCCACGATTTTTCCTGAGAACCGCCAGTTGAGGTTGTTTTTGTTATGAACACGAGGCTCTGGGTAGGTAACCGTACTAAGCTGTGCTTGTTGAGAGATGGTAATTCATTGTCGCGTTGAACATGAGCACATAATGGTAAGTGAATAAAGTAAATAAAGTTCTTATCTGCGTCTGTTTATGTCACTTAGCTTGTTTCGGCAGTCGATACGTATTTCTTTTGGAAAGAAGATCTCTACACGTAACAGCGTGACAGACCACAGACGAGGTATATGAATAAACCTTTTACGTCGCTGATGACTTCGCTGATGACTCCTACTAGGCGACATCGTCGCCCGGGTGCTTGAATTCTACAGTTGGTGAGTCGCATGCTATTTTATTTCCTCTGGTCCCCAACCATGTTGTAGGATGAAATATCCGAATCAACACGGGTGACCAGTTGTATACTTAGTATTTTTGGCGAATATAGTGATCGCGGGTATTTTTTGTACCCAAGCGTAGGAACATATACATATATGCCTACATAGGTCGGAAAGTAAAAAATGTCTGGGCATTCGAGATTATGCGAGTTCGAATTTCAGCTGTGTTGAGAGCAATAAGGATAGACTCACATTCGCCGCCTTTCTCGAATCCTCGAAGCTATACTTTTGCAATCCCTCCCATAGTCAACTCACATGTATTTACGCACACATTCAGCTGGCTGCCCATTAATACTAATTCAGTGCCTAGTTTCTCAACTGACCGCCATCCATGAGGAGAGGCCGCTAAAATCACCTCCGAATTTTCAGGTCGGTATGGCAGTCAGATTCGGCCGCGAAAGTCCATAAGGTGAAAGGTCTATTCATGTACCTCGTCTGTGTGACAGACTTTGCAGTTGTTATCTAGTGTCCGTGAGTACTATTCTCATTAAAACGTAATACCAATTTTAGTAATTATTTAATAGGCGTACGAAAATTAAATAGAACAAATGAATATATACATATATAGGTTGGTTACGGTGTTATTAGCCACAGATTTTCAAGTGAATCTACGGTCGACATAATACTTTCAGCAGCATACATTCTTCTTTCCCAAGAGTTTTGAAAACCACAATCTTAATCTGTTCCAAGAATGGAATCTTAAAACGTAATACGTAATATGTAATAGGCGTTCGAAAATTAAATAGAACAAATGAATATATACATATATAGGTTGGTTACGGTGTTATTAGCCACAGATTTTCAAGTGAATCTACGGTCGACATAATACTTTCAGCAGCATACATTCTTCTTTCCCAAGAGTTTTGAAAACCACAATCTTAATCCGTTCCAAGAACGGAATCGTAAAACGTGTCCGTGTCTCCGATCTGCGCGAAATTCTTGCAATTGAAATGCAATTGTAAAAAAATATACATGAATTCCGAGTTCATTCGATAAGAACGAGCATTCCGGAAGTCATACTTTCGGCGAAAGAATTTAAACGGCCGCATTATCGTACATGCGGCCAATAATACTCCGCAACCTTTTACCGCTAACTTCTGTAACGTGCACGGGAGCTTGAATGCTCGCCGCTTTTATTGCCCCCCGTGCTTATTTCGTATCTCCTAAAGTTGTTTTCGATTTGATCGCATTCGCTTCCTTCCCCGTCCCCGTTTTTGCTTGCTGCAAATTCCGTGGTGCTCTTTCGAGTCGTTTCCGTTCGATACTGCCCTAATAAAGCGCATAATTTTCCTTTTACGCGAGCCCGTCTTATCGGGTTCTACGTTTTATACCGCATAATCGAATATTAGGAGGAAACGGAGGATAAAATTTTAGAACGTGTAGGAAGTGCTTCGCGAATATCGATGGTACATATGACTTTGGTTCAATGGATTTGGACTTGCAATTAGACTGCGGATCTTTGTGCAAATTCATATTTTTATTAATAAAATTAATGAAATGGGGGCTTCGTAGAGGCTTGTCTCAACCCCTAAGTATTTCTTATATTTTTGCATACTAAATGGATTCTGTAGTTTTTCGAGAATTAAAATTTCCCATAAATGCATAAACATTGACTTTCAATTTCATATTATTTAGATTGAATCATGGTAACTTTATTTCTTTTATACTTAGAAAGATTCCTCTTTTTGTATCACTATATTATAAATACATAATAGACACGTTTATAATAATTCGTTTTTTATATTATCCGTGAACATTTTTCATCCGTTTCAATTGTCAAATAATTGTTTCATTTATATCACTACATTATAAATACATAATAGACACATTCGTAATAATTTTTCTTTTATATCAACCATAAGCATTTTTCATCTGTTTCAACCGCAAAATAATTGTTTCATTATTCGAATTTAGAACATTAAGCTATGGAAAAGTAATTGAGAATTTTGTAGATCGACATTTTTTGGTTCAAACTAATTTCTTCTCGCTTTGATCCTTCAAAAATTGTAAAAAAACGGTACAGAGAATTATCGCGCGTGTTATAATTACAGAGATAACGCGATAAAACCGCTGCACATGCTGAAGGGAGATTTACCTTCGCGAATTTACGATATCCGCTTACGTTACGACATCCAGACTGATAAAAGTAGGGCCGAGCGAATTATCGTTTGCCAAATTTATCGGTTATACCGTTATCTCGATCGGTATATCGTCACAGCCTGTATCACGACCGCGTTTCGAGTAACTTTATCGCTATTTGTTCCGTCATTGTGTCGTTTTTCAGTGTTAAAACGTATTATCTAGAAGCAAGCAAGCGCCAGAGACTCGAAGAATAAAAGTCAAGATTATCGAGGCACCAAGAGGCTTTTTATTGCTCGAATAACATAGTGAATAGAGTATCGTTGGGCTCAGACGATCGTTCTTGCAAAACTGTTCGCGATTTCTCCACTTATGCGGATTTTTCGTTCCTCGATTAAACGAAAGGACCATAATCTTTACTGAATTTAATCTTTAATGAAATTGTTTGATCAACTTTGTTAATTTTGCGAAGTAATATCCTAGATTGGAATACTCCTCGAAGCGTCAAATTCGACGTTTTGTTCCGAGCGAAGATAGGGTAATGATTAATGCACGAAGATATTTTCCGTGCAATGACGAAATACTGGTAAAATCTAGCAGACGGTGAACCCATGACGGCACACGATAAATCATGGCTTTGCTAGCAGTATAATCCTCGATTTTTCACTCGTTTCAACAGCTTCTTCATGCATTGGAAAACGCAAAGAAGGGCTGCGTCTTCCCTTCGGTAAGATTCGATAAATCACGATTTTTATCATATTTCAATTCCGGTAGCATACGACACACTTGAAAAATTACGTGTTTCGCGAGCTAGCAGAAAATTAATTCGCGAACGTCGAATGAATAGGAGATTTCACGGCGGGCCGGGATTTCGTATCCACGGCTCAAAGTCCAGATAAATCTTCGCGAGTAACGAACTATCGCGTGTTCGTATCGTTTATAATATTTGTTTGCTTCGTGAGAAAATTTTCGTTAGAAATGGTATCTCTTCCATTTTTTTCCCCAAACTATCACCAAAATCCCAGATAAGAACTTACCGATAGAAAAATTTCAAAGAATACAATTGAATATTGATGATAGCTTGAACAAAAAAATTCATAAATATCGGTTACTTTTGGAGCTGTTACGCGAGAATCCCCTCTTCAGTAATTGTTGGAAGCTGGTTACTTACCTTGACCGGCGATCGTCGCAGTAGGATGATTAGAACGGCTCTGTAAGAAGATAGTTACGCAAGAGAGACTTAATTTGTGGGAATAGAAATGTTATACAATTTAATAATAATATTTCAATGGGAACACGAACTCAGAATATATTTAAACGCCTGAGTATGTGTATATATAGATATATATATATATGTATATGTATATGTATACATATATTTATAATCGCGTTCATCATAAAAGTACAATAATAGCTTTATATCAAATCACGAGGAGAAATTCAATATTCACACGGTAGGCGCGGACAGTAGCTCTTAAAGGTACCGATTTACCGAGGACTGTTTTCGTGTGTTCTATTTTTTTTTTTTCGCGTCATATGTTTCTTCGTTTTATCCAACGGTCCAATTGCTTATGTAAACGTTAACGTTTGGTATTTTTTTTCATTTCTACAACAAACAATACGAACGAAGCGAAGGATCAACGCGGAAAAAATACACTATGTTACTAAACAAAACAAAAAAATACATTGACGATGCAGCAATAACAACAAACAGTTAGAAAAAAAAAAATGCAGTTGGCTGTCGACTGGTTGAAAATGACGGAATGACTGATAACACGCGCCGGATTATCTGGAAATCATTGTTGGTTTTCGTATCTCACGGGTCGGGTGGGGTGGGTGGGGGATTGATGTCGTTTCGTTGCACGAAAACGAAGCTGTACAAACCTTCTCGCGGAGAATAGAAATTCTCGGTTCGCTTCTATTTTCTATCGGTTTCATTCTCTCTTTCGTCGTTAAGCTTCCTATTTACTTCTTTCGTCTGCCCCCCTTCCTTTATACGTTTCCGCCCGCCGTCGTCGCGAATTCATAATCGCCGTGTTGTTCGCGTAAATATTTTACAATGACACTTTATTATAATATGCACTTGTTGTTACAATTCAACTGGTCCATAATTCAAATCAACACATCGAGGCGACTACAAAATTCGACGATACACGTTACGAGTAAAAATTTCTCGGATCACCCGATCGAGCAGTCGATTTCGACCTTCGAGTTTTTTTATTGACAATGATCAGGGGTCGAGCAGGTTCTGGAAACGACCGTTTCAAATATCTTCGAAACTGTGGATGAGATTGGAACATTTTCGGGACTAAAATTGAACGGTTTCGAGGTTCTATAAACGTCTTTTTAAATGGAATCATATATTTTTTAATACACCATTTAATACACAGTGGAAAATAATCGGTTCGGAAGATATTTGAATGTAAACATTGAAGCTTTTAATGGCTTTTTGGCGATATTGATAATTGCACGATCCTAAACACAGGAATGAGCTAATTAAATGTTGTCATAGTGCGATCTGTCTGAATTTCCAAATTTCGTTTTCTCGAAAACGAGGCCGCAAAGAAATAAATTGTTGTCAACGATATTATCGATGTATCGTTAGGTGTCGTTAGGATATCGATGATCGATAGCAACGCCTTCAGGTTAAAGGGAACGTTGGCGTCGGGGGTTGAGGCGAGAAAAAGGGCAGACGGAAGAGCGGTGTCAAAGGGCGTTATAAATCAGGCACTTTATAATGTCCGTCACCCTTTTTGTTCTTGTTAACTTCCCATTAAAGTTATTACACACTAGTGCATGCGCACTCGAAAGAATCAGCGACGCGCCTAACCGTTAATAAAAAGTATACCTAAACACCTCGTTCACCGCCATTCACACGACGCGCACACGCAACCGCACTATCAATAAAGTGAACAACAGTCACGCTTCTCTCCCGTACAGTGCGCCCAATAAACAAAAAAAAAATAAAAATAAAGAGTCTTTACTATCACGTTTTGAACGAATTTTCTTGTTCCATTGTCCCCTTTCCGTTTTAATTCCTAGTCATTTCTCTTCACCACTCCCGTTTCTTCCCCCGGATTCCTTCTCTTCCTCCAATCGTGTACTTATATTTTGCTCTATCTTTTTTTCCCCCGTTTTTCTTTTTGTCTTCTTTTTATCGTGTGTGAGTATGTTTTTTTTCTTTTTTTTTTGTGTTGTTGTTCCTTTGATCTCGAACCACTCTGGATCTGAACGGAGCGCAGCTGTTCTCGGCTCTAACCGTCACACGTTTCTAATACCACGCAAACACATGATCTATCGTGATCGAGACTCGGGGTCGACCTTCGTCAAACTTTTCGACGATAGGTCCTGTCATTGGTTGGCTCGATTTAATGGGTCTAGGTCATCAGCTCCGTTGTGTCGTCCGCGTCAACGTCGTCCGGAGGTTCCACCCCCATAGCCAACTGCGTGTAACCCTTGTTCGCTTCCCTTCTTCTCGACATGGCCTGCGAATACAATTATTGTTTCGTTTTATTAACGCGGTAGTCAGACTCGTCATTGCACGAGGAGGGTCTAACATCCCAATTTCACACTAAGTTTCGCGCCGTATCGTACCTGAAGCGCGATGAATATTGTTGCAAACAGAGCTACCGACACCAGACAAATGGCGACGGCTATGGTTGTAGTCGCCGTTATGGCCAGCGACGCTGAATCATTTTTGTCAGTCACTCCCTCGTAATTCGCGTACACTTCCGAAATGGCAGTGTCGGCCGAGGCAAACTCTGTTCCAGGTACTCTTCTTTTACCAGCCGGTGAGCTGTTCCTGCAGCCACCTAAAATTGTCAAAAAAAAAAAAAGGAAAAGGAAAAACAGAAACGCTCATAGAAACTTTGCAATTCTTCGACCTTCAAACTCTATGTAATCATTGTGAAGTTATGGTGTATTATCTTACCACTTTCCGGGTCGCACAGACAGCATTCTTCCGCTTGCGGACCCTTCTCGGTGCCCGTGCAACAAGGCACGCACTGGTTGTTGAGTTTGTCCAGGTGCAACGGCGGCGTACAGGCCGCGCAACTGAATTTACCAGGCCCGGTGCACCTTCGACAATCGGTGTGGCAATTCTTGCAAAGTTGCGTCAAAGAGTCGTAATACTGTGCACCCAGACACTCCATACACAATCCACCCTCTAGCATCGAGTGTGGTGGACAGGAAGTGCATTCCAATGGCCCCTCGCCTGTAACGCATTCGATTATTACAAATATTTTACTTTTTCTATTGGAAAGGCTATTCTCGTAGGTTGTTCTCGTAGAAATTTCGTATTACTAAAAGGGTTACACGTGGAACGTATGACGCTCTTTACCTTTGCACGTGCGACAGTAGTGGTGACACTTCTGGCATCCGAAGTTGGACTTGAAGAATCCCTCGGGACACTCCGGGTGACACTCTCCCGCTGCCAGTTGCCAACCTCGAGGACACGTTACGCACTGATCCCTTCTAGGCCCGGAACACGTGTTACACGACAAGTAACATTTGGCACATTGACCCCTATCGCTGTAATACCTGCTCGAACAAAGAATTACTTCTCTCGATTAGAATTATTACTCTCGATAACATTTTCTGATACAACAAATACACTGTCGTAACCAGACTGCGGACATCTATGCGAATTCATATTTTTATTAATGAAATGGGAGCTTCGTAGAGGGTTGCCCCCCTAAATGTAATAATTCGTATCTTATTTCAAGTCTTTCGTATATTTTTGCATATTGAGTGCATACTATACTTTTTTGAGAATTAAAAGCCACTTTAATTCTCAAGTAGACTCTCAATTTCAACTGAATTATTTCACTTAATGTTGAGTTTTACCAAATTGGTAAATGAAAATCAACTTTCCTCTAAAATTATATTACACAATATTAGTTTAAACTCGTGGAGGGCCTCGATAATCCACTTAAGGGTTAAAATGTTCAGTTTTGATATGTTCGTGTTATATTCTGCGTTTTGAATAAAAGAAAAACACTCACCCTCGAGCGCAAGACGACCTGCATTCTCCGCTTTGCAGCTGCAATCCGTCCTGGCAGGCGGTGCAGTTCAATCGGGACACGCAAGTCTTGCAAGTATGCAAACAAGGCACACAAACGGGTCTCGTCGGCTGCGCCGTGGAATAATAACCGTCGTCGCATTGGTAGACGCAACGTTTCCCCTGTAGCAGCAGGGAATTTTGACAGGAGATGCAATAGTCCTCCGTAGGACCCGCGCAAGTCCTGCACGACGTATGGCACGGTTTGCACAGTTCGTTATCGTAATATTGTGAGGTTTCGCACCGATCGCGGTGCTCCGGGGCACACAATCCCTCTTCGTTCAAATTCCAACCGTCGATGCAGCTCGTGCAAATCGATGTCGTGCAAGTCGCGCATCCTGGGGGACACGGCATGCATTCTCGTCGCCTTCTGTCCGCGCTGTATCCGGCTGGACAAGCCGCCAGACACGTTCCTACCGGTTAGAAAAAGCAATTATTATGCACAAATCCACTGTTGAGCCTCGTCATTGGGTCCACTTTGACCCCGAATCTGAATTTTATTATTTTACTTTTACTTTCGTCCAGCTGGAAAACAGTATTTTTCTGAATAATCGTAACAATTTGGTAAATTGCTCTCGTAGCGTTATTTTTTCGTGTTTGCGTACCGTTCAGGGCGCACAATCCTGGTTTACAGGTGATGCATTGGTTCTCGGCGGTGCCGTTGCAAGTCTCGCACGTAGAATGACACGTCGCGCAGCTATAGTCCTGCGTCTCGTACGTGTCGAGGGGACAGGCCGCGTAACACTTGTTCTTGAACATAACCAGATGATGCTCGCAACTGGTGCATTTGTCCGGCCTGTCTTGGCAACCGGCGCAATTCGCCTCGCAAGGCACGCACGTGCTGTTCTCCGAGTCTGAAAACACGAAAGCGTCTCGTCTAACCTTTGACCCCCTCGAATCGAAGCGATCGATCGTCGGGATCGACACTTTCACTGTCTACGGTGTGTCCGTTTCGTTTCGCATGCTACAAAAGCAATTTAACACCCACCACGACTACGTTTTTATGAAAATAATCGTACAGGGTTATTGGATTGAATCTTCTGTTTGTAAACGAAGAAGACAGTGTTCGATCGTTGGTGTAACAGATAGAATAATCGAATATGCTCTCATTATTAGATTTATTCGTTTCACTTACTCTCGTAATATCCTTCTGGACATTGTTGCAGACATACTGCTAAATCGGTGACGCGAAGATGAGCGGGCGCGCAGGACAGACAAGAGTCCTGGCCAGCTCCTGCGCAAATTTCGCAGGACTCGTGGCAGGGCCAGCAGACTCCACCTTGATTCGGGAAGCTCCTCGGAGGGCATCGACTCACGCAAGTACTGTAAGTGCAGTTTCGTAAATAAAAACTACTCTCCACTACAACAGAGTTAGGGAAACTTTATTCGCGAATAACAAGTACGAATTTTCGAGATCGTTATTCGAGAACAAAATTTGCCCACCTCTGACTCCAATCTTTATTTTTACCGTTTGATCGATTATTAGTTGAATATCAGTAGTTTGCAACGATTAATATTTAAATTTTCATTTATATCTGTAAATATTTTGTTAAATGTAAATATCGTTCCGGGGCAGTTTTTTTTATCCATCAGGAAAAAAGGTATCAAAGCCTTTTGTTGTATTTTTATGTAAAAAGTATCACTCTAAATAACGGTCTGCGGCAAATGGTTGCGACACGCGATGAATATGGTGCAATGTATCGTGAAACGAAATAAATCGCAACAGCGACGGTTAGTAAGTTTTCAAGGTTTAGCAGTGCTTTTTTTGGGGAATTTAAAATGACATCTTTATTTTAAAAAAAAAGTACTGTATTCAGCGTTTCATACTCTATGCAAAAATCGAAGCGTGGAGGCTGCTACAGCTAAAGCATCATTACCGCTAAATGTACGTTAAAACTAAATATTTAAATATTTACACGGTATAATGGAGATGTTTCGGATTAAAGGTTCGCAAAAATACGAATCAATATGGTATAAATACTTACTGTGCTGTGAATAATTATAAACCCAAACATATTTTTCCATGTGCAAGGGAAAAAATTTATAGACAACTTATAATTTAAATCTTGAAATATTCGTTCGTCTAAAGCAATTGGAATTTAGTAAATGGGATTACATAATTGTTTTTTTTGAAAGGGGTATAAGTCCATTTTCTGTAATCTATGAAACGAAATAATAGTCGCTAGAAGATCGCAAAAAGTAGCATTTCGTTGCTTGAAATATTTACAAAATAACTGGAAAACACGTGACAGCATACATTGACGAGTACACCGATAAAAATCGAAATATAAAAATGGCAATATGGTGCCTGAAAATTGTCTAATTTTTTGGAAACAAACGTAGACATTACTGATCATATGCACACATAATACAGAGGCTTAAGTATCTTAAACAAGTTTTAACACAACACAGACTGTGCCAACACTTTTCTTCTGATAAAAATCTCTTATCGCCTACACTTACTGTTATTACTAACCGATCGTTCGTTTCACCTGGTTTTTGCACGCACAATTTAAAAGTTTGAGCAAGTAAAGTTAAGCACAGGAAAGAGTAGAAGGGATCGCTTACTTGTCGAGTCGATAGTTTTTGCATGCGATGCATTGCGTGGGTCCGTTTCCGTAGCAACCCTGAGAATCGCACTGTGGATCACAGTCGTGTAGAATTTTTCTAGTGGTGTCGAGGGAGTCGTCGCCGACTTGCGACGAGGACGACGGGGAATCGAAAGCCGACGACGTATCACCGGGAAGTCGATTGGTCAGGATGGGGGCCGACGAGCCGTCCAGGCTGGCCACGGACGCCTGGATGTTGGAACCAGCGCCAACGTACGGGCCCTGGTAGCCCTGAAAGGTAGACGAAGGAAAGAAGTCGACGTCGCCGCGATGGCCCAGTGCTATTAGTTCATCGTCTACTGTGAATGGGTATTGCACGGAGGCGTACGAAGAATGCGCTTGTACCGGGTTAAATTGACGTGTTCGTATCCTGATGGGATTCGTCGCGGTTCCGTAAAAGATCAGCTGCCACTTCTTTAGGATCCCTGTAACAACAGATGTCACAAGCAAGAATAAACAAAACAGTCCTTTCGTATTACACAGGGCAAGCTAGTTTTCTGAAGGGCCACATACTATACAGGACCACCTAACTCGACCAATTTATTTCATAACTAATAGTTTTATTTGTCGTTGGAATCTACTTTTGCTTCTCACTATTAGAGGAACTTTTTAGCAACCTTTTAATCCTCTACGATACGCCATTCTTTGGGAAACGTAAATACCACGACACAGAACCAATTTCATTAAGTATCAGAATATTATATTTTGAACATCGTCGATACGTTCCATTAATTTTGTATATCCGCGTTAAGAAAAAACAAGTTTTGTCTACTCGTTCGCCATTTTTATCCTGTTACATAGTTGCACGATGATGCGAACGCGAATTACACCCGATCCCTGAAAAAATAAATATCAAATTAAAAAAAAGAACGTTTAATCGATACCCGGTACGTATTTCGAAACCCTCCAACCTGTGTATAACATAACATTGATAACTACATTTATTGTAATTGTTATTACAAGTTTTAGTCGACAGAGTGTTATTTCAATTGTTAGAACGTATTGTTACAGCTTGCATAGTTATGAGAACATAGAATTATTTGGAAAAAGAATTTTCAATCAAGAAATAAAGAACGTAAGATCAATTTAAATATTCGCGATGTATCAATTGACACTATTCGAAATAAATTTCGCCCAGGTCTGAAGAATTCAAAACCGATCTAGAAATAATGATATCGTTCTTGAAAAAAACGTTAACCGCAAAAGAACGGAAAAAGAAAGTTCCGTGACAAAAGAGTAAAGGTGTGAACCTAACCCAGATACATTACGCGAACTCCTGTACCCAACAGCCAGCTTTCCAGTGTATAGAAACACAATTTGGTCGCTTGTATCCAGCAAAAGGGTATCACTTAACGGACCACTCGAGTGTGTCTCGAGTACCTCGCTGTATTTGCTTCATACACCATAGCGTGTACTCGGAGGAAGGAATATAATGAGATACACTCGAGTTACACTCAAGTGTTATGTAAAGCGATATCCTTGAAAGTCCCCGACCGCCAAATGTTTTTCGTCGCTCGTTATAGGATTTCACTTATCCGGGACACTTAACCCTCTTCGTGCGTTACTTACAAGGAGAATGTCAGACCCGATCCCCACCGATTTTAATGACACGTTACAGGCTTGTAGATTCGTATATACAACAATCGTAACCGAGACTATAGCCGTAGATGGTCAGTTAGTTATGAAAAAAATTTGGAAAAATCGCTTAGTCAGATATATTCTAGTAATGGATACATTCAAGGATTTCGAAGCCTAGAATTCTGTTTTCATTTCTTTTAGTCCACAAATTTTTAGAGTGTTATTTAGACACGTGTAAATAAATCTTGTAAATTAGAAAAGATTGCTCAAAGATTGTTTACGATTACTAGAATACCTCCTCAAGCGACGATCAGACAGTCGAGATTTTCGCGGTGTAAAAGAGCGTCAAGACTTGCCTGGCGAGTTGACGTGACGATTTCCGGCGTTAATGATCTGCAACGTCCATCGACCGTCCGCTTTCTCGCCCCAGAAGTGCACGCTGAGGAAGGGCCAGTCGTCGAAGTTTGAGCTGAGAATGTCCCGCGGTCTCTCGAACAGCAAAGTCGATGTAGTGCCCATCGGCGAAGTCAACAGTAATCTCAAATTTCCTCGCGGGAAGAACCTTAACGAAACCTGCGCGAGAAATGTTTGACGTCTTCTTAAAAAATGTTTGTCGTTTCTCGGGGGGGAGGGGGGAGAAGCGTCTGTCAACACCTCGGCGGCTGACAGTACGATAACATTATTCTTTTTAGCCTTTATGGACTTACGTTTCTCTTCTCTTTTTATGCTTCTTTGTCGAGTCGATAACGGAGTTTTTTTTTTATACACGGTGACCCCTAATGGACGGTAAATTCACTCTTCGTCGGAGGGCGAGTCGAAAATGTTGTCGCGGGAGACATTAAAATTTTGACCGTAGTAAAAAATAGTATCAATATTTGGTACAAAGATTATTTATAGACACGTAGTTCTCTATGCTGACAGAGAGAGTACAGGACCTTTGGATCACCGATTTCATTGAGATTTTGAGCGCTACCTCATTTACAAATGTATAAGGTTAGATCGAATATTGGGTATCCTATGGTATATGTTTGTAAATGCGGTAGCAAGATCTACTAGTGCTCAAAATCTCAACGAAATCGGTGACCCGAAGGTCCTGCATTCTCCTTGTGAGTAGACTACAAAATAAAGACTCTGAAAAAAGTGGTCAATTCTCCTATTACTAGCCACTACAAGACATTTTTCTCCATCCTAAATCTTGGAAAAATTGATGAAAATTGATCATTCCTCGGTTTGAATACCTTCCTGAGTGGTGCAATACAGGGAACTTTTATCGGGGTAGGAAGTAGCGATCATTAACGAGGGACGATTGTTACCTTGCACTGCACGTGTTCCAAGAACCGAACCTCGTTGAAGGACCCTGCGCAACCGGTGACGTCCATGTAGACGCTGAGCGTGTAACCGTAGGTCGGATCGATGCGTCTCTCCTCGTTGATCTCGTCGGACTTGCAGATATGTTGAGGCGGCACGTTGGTCCACTGCTCGGCGAGGCTGACCATGGCCCCGGCGTCCATCAGCCCGTAACCGAATTTGTGGGATACCTTCCTCTTCACCCCGTTCAGTATCCATCCGGGCTCCTTCTCGAGGGGCCCGGATCTCGAGGTGAGGACCACCAGGTATTGCATGTCCCTCCAGGTGAGGCTCGGGTTCGCCTCGAGGGCCAGGGCGGCGATCCCCGCCGCCAGTGGCGCCGACGCCGAGGTTCCGGTGTGTTCGACCGTGCAAATATGATCAGGTCGCAACTTGGCGTCCATGTCCACCGTCGCGACGCTCTTGTCGTTGCCCGGCGTCCCCGAGGAGTAAGTCGAGGCGAGGGTGGAGCTGCATTCCTCGAGGTACCACGGCTTGTAGCCGCCTTGCGTGGCGCTCGATATGGACAGGGTGAAAATGCTGTTCGTGTAGCCGTCGCAGTTGCAGGAGTCCGTATGACGGCCCCCGTTGCCCGACGCCCACACGAAGATCGAGCCCTTTCCCTTTCGACCCTTCGCAGCGTTTATTTAAACAGCGTTAGTGCCACGAACCGGTCCTGCTCTGAGGGCTGGTTTCTTACAAATATTTGTAGCTCGGTCGCGATCAATGGCCACCGTTCTTGCATCGACTTTTACCTTTGCCCGAGACGTTTGCGCGACGTGTTTTGCGTAAATTTGGATTTTCCGATCTAGACGAGCCTCCGCGGGGGAAACCACGGCGAAACTTTGGATAACTTTTTATTTTCTCGGTTATCTCGATTTACGGAGGAAATAGAAGAGGTTTTGAATTTGTGTTATACACGAATCTGGTAGATTTCTTTATCGGTTAAAATGTTTTTATAAAATGGTTGGTTTTACTGACGATAGCAAGATGAATAATGTTTTACTTTATCAGATTCACAAAAATTGGTCCATTGTAAACAGTTAAATTGTTCTCGAAATAACCTTGACTTCAGACGGAATATTTTCTTGCAACCTGTTCTCTCATACTTGTTTAAGTTTCGGAAATACCTCGATCGATCAATTTCTGCGAATCACCCCGTATAGAAATACGAGAGGAAAACTTTGGTAACACGCGTAGCACTTTGAGGCGTGTTTTCATTCCATCAGATTGGATTTCTTCGGGAACGGAATGGCTTTTTATAAGTATATTTTTATATTCTTTTACAAACAAGTTCCCCAATATAATCTCGTCGAAATCGGAATGTTTAGATTGGCAAACTACTTTTTATTGGTGTTCTTAAAGGAACTCTGATCGAGATTTAATTTAACGCGTACCAGGAATATCCCGGAACACATTTAACACGCTTGTTCACGTTCAAAACTTACTTCGTCTAAATCCATGAAACAATTAAGTATGCAGTCAATGAGTTAAATAAGAATGGGATACATTGGTTTGCTCGAGACACGCCGGAAGTTGTAGCGAACAAGATCCTCGCGGAGACAGAGAAATCAGATAGAAAAATTGAAGTGAGTTATGCAACTTACGCTTGTGACGCCATAAATAAACGCCCTTCTGGCAAGAGCGCCAGGACCGTCGACAGTTTTACCATCGTCCTCGGGGCCCCATGAAGCGCTATATATATCGATGTGATCAGGATTCAATCCCAGTGCTCTGGCTTCGACGGCATCGTTTACCGGGCCATCGAGCATTCGCACGCCTGAGAACACGGAAGGTATGAGCGTCAGATAGCTTTCCTTCTCGTTGCAAATGCGTCGTGATTTTCACGAGAACCTCAGCTTCTAAGTGGTTCAAACTTTTTAAGACTATGGAGATTCGTATCGTTTCCAAAAAGCCAAGTGTCCCCATTAGCGACCCCTTACTTATTACACTGATGGACAAATCTCAAATTCGAAGTAAATACGACACAAAAGCCAAAACCTGCAATTTTTTATTATTCAACTATCAAAACTATCACTCTCAAATCTATACAGATTTTCCAGATGCAATTTAAGATATTCGAGACCGTCGAGATTCGTATCTTCAAAGTCTTGAAAGCTCAGAAATATTTTAAAGCCGAGATTGGAACAGGCGATCGGTATCCAGAGGCATGGCGGAACTCTTTAAATCGTACGCGGATCGTTAACACGCATTTTAATGAAAACGAGCCTGTAAAATTATCGGAACTCGATATTCCGACGAGAAACAGTCCGCTGGTGGAACGACTTATAAGGATCCCCACTCCGGGGCTCGCACATGATTGACGTTTTAATAATTGTCACGGTAAAGGGAAAATTGAAAATAAAAATGAACCGATAGGAAGAACGTCGCGACGGAGATTAAGTTGTCGACGCGCAATTAAACGGCGCGAATGGAACGAAAGAGCGATGATTGAAATTTGTTGAAAGCAATGGGAGAATTAATAATTCCGAAGTAGGAAAGCGGTGGCTAAATACGCACGGGAAGCTATTAAGTTTCGTATTCGGTTATGCCGCGGAAAGGAAAGAAAAATTGTTCGCGTTACCGACCGGACCTATAATTACCAAATCATTGACCCTTCGTACTTTGTTAACAGACTGTGGATGTTTATGCACCTATAATATGTTGAAATATGAAAAATACGACTATACAGGGTGTTTGGCCACTCTTAGAAAAAATTTTAATGGTAGATTCTAGTCAAAATAAGACGAAAATCAAGAATATCAATTTCTTGACTGAGGCTTCATTAAAAAGTTATTAAAAAATTAAATTGAAAAATTTCAAATCACTCTGAAAAATTATATTTAGTTACAGGGATCAATTACAAGCATTTTTGGTGAATACACATACCTCGAAATCCTACCCACTTTCGAGAAAATAATTCGAGAAAGGGTGAAATTTTTCGACAAGATTAACAAATTTCAAATCGTTCTGGAAAAATTATTTTCGGTTACAGGGGTCAATTACAATAATTTTTGATGAATAGACCTACCCCCGAAATCCTACCCACTTTCTAGAAAAAAATTCAGTACGGGCGGAACGTTAAACATTAATAACCTTTTAACGAACCCCCCGTCAACAAATTAGTGTTCTTGATTTTCGTCTTATTTTGGCCTCTAGAATCTCATATTAAAATTTTTTCCAGGGGTGGTCGAACACCCTGTATATACAAAGAGTATATCAGTCATAGAGTTCGTGGTTATAATTTAAGTTATAATGAACCACAAGAATTTATTCTATATTAGAGAAATTTTAGCAACTTGTGATAAGTAAAATCAATAATATTCGATAGTTAGATGGTATACTTGTTATTGCATAATGTTCCTAATAACCCTAGAATTATTTAAAAAATATTTAAAAGAATCGTTGCGAGTTTGGAGCGCCGGTCACCAGTGACCACCATGCTAGTCAACCATTCACTGAAATATGAAAAAAATATTGATTAATCCATCTCAGAGCGTTAGATAACAAACAATGTTCGTTTCAAGTTTAACCGAATATTAATGGAATTTTTAAAGTTCAAACGAGTTTCAAGTAGCTTTCAAGCAGTTGAAAGCAAGTCGAGAACTACTTTCAGATTTTTTTAACTAGCTCTAACGCAGTTATAATTAAGAAATTACCGAGTTAAATTAAACAACGTTGCACGTCGTTTCGAAATAATTTTACACCGCCTCGTTAGAAATGTTTAACGCGTTTACAAAATCCTGGGACCGTATTGTTGTAATGCGTCGCGTTGCTAACGAAAATATAAAACAGTGCACGATAGTTTGCAATGGACCGTAATTAATGCGATTGAACCAGCGCGTAATTATATTAACATGGTTTAATGAATATGTCATTGTGAGGTAGTAACGTGCTTAAACGAAGTAATTACAGAAACAGTCTAGTGTGATATTTACTTACTCGAATAAATACATTATCGTTACACCCTTCTTTTACGCAGCGAAAGCGTTCGAGTAAAACAAAATCGTGTAAAATATGTCATACGAACACTGATCGATAGAAATCTGTAAAACTTGTTTCGGAGGATGCAAACTGTACGAAGACTAATTTAAAACATAGAAATTAAAATATAAAATTATTGCAGTATCTAACGGTATAGCTTATTATCGAATCAATGCAATAAAGCGACGGAAAAGAATTGTTTCGGTAATTTATACTCGTTATTTTTGATAAAAAATTTGATTTCCTTCGTATTGGTTGTAACAGTTACGGTGTCTGTCGGTCGTTGGAAAGATCGCAATTTCTTACCGCCGATGCTGGCGTTGTAGGCGACGCCGACGCCGCAGTATTGGTTGAAAGCGACTGCAGCTACCTCGCCGGCGCATCGGGTTCCATGCTTGTTGTCACCGTTGTCCCTTGGCATCGGGTCGTTGTCGTTGCCGTTGATATCCCAGCTGGCCTGGTGATCGTAATTCAACGCCAGGTCCGGATGATTCGTTTGTATGCCGTCGTCGAGGATCGACACGACAACACCCTTCCCGGTGTAACCCTTCTGCCACGCCGGGCCAAGATTCATATCGTAACCATCCTTCGCCCCTCCGTTCTGCGCATAAACCGTTACGCGATCAGATAAACGATCGAGAGCTTTCAAAAATTGTAAAATCATTTTTCTTTTCATTCGAGAGCTCCGTACTAAAATATTTTCATGTTAGTCCAATCAAATTAAATTAATCGTTAAGCATCACGCTTATAGAATCGTTGCTCGTGAAATATTCTTGACAAATCCAATCTTTTACGACGGAGTTTTCCGTCACGACGCTTATAATCGCTCGATCATCGCGAAACGTCTCTACTCGAATGTTTACGCTCGCATCGTAAATTCGTACGAACAACGAGCGGCGATGAGAACGTATCCTCGATGGCCATTCGTCACTCGAGCACGCATTTTATTAAAATCATCTCGAAAAGTTCCAACAGTATCGTAGAATAATTTATTGATCCGACGGCCGCGCGGAGGGATTTATTGTTATTGCTGGAGTTCCACGCGTCGAAGGAATCGCGTCACGTTGGTGTGCGCTTATTAAAGGGGTTAATTAATTTCGACCACTGCGAACACGATGTCTCATTTTTATGGAAATGTTCCTGTAACATTTATATTTTTAGGCATTCTTTGTTATTTTGCAAACAGAAAACCGTAGACTGTTTTGCATTGGGATTTTTTCCAAGTAAAAATAATAAAAATTGCATAAAAATCCATTTAAGAAAAAGTATCTTCGCTAGAAAGTGCATAGTTATGGTACAAATCACGGAGAAATCAAAATTTCGATAAATAAACAAATGGTGGAACTTCGAAGTTCATATTTGTAAAGTGAATAAATATATCAGCGAAATTTCAGTGCAAAGCAGCTTATCTATCATTAAAAAGAAAATAAAAAGGCCTGGAAATTGCATGCCTAGACCGGAAATTCTCCCTTAATCGGCCTTTCAATAGAGGAAGTCGAACCTTTCTCGCGCCCTGTTGTACATAATTCTCTACGCGTCGCCTCGAACGATCATTTTCGGGTATAGACAACGGCGATCGCTGCTCTTGTCGTTTCTAGGATTAACGGCGGAACAAGATATACGAGCACGGTATTAATAATGAGATGTTTTTCATTCGCAAACAGGATTTTGGGCTCGAAACAAGCACGCCCTTCGGGATAATCCCACTGTACGCGTACGTCTGTCGTATCGTTATTCGATGATTTAGTCGTTTAAAGCGTTGATACTTAACGAACCGTACAATCGCACGAGCAATTGGGTATGAGTGGACGTTCTCGAATGACGAACGACCGTTTAATCGCTCTGCTGGAAGCAGATTTTCCAAAAATAGTTTCGATACTAAAACAGACCTCGTTATAATCGGAATGTTGCGATCGAATTTTCTTCTCTCACGATCTGAAATTTGCTTACAACTTATTTACCAATATTTCGATAATCGAAACTCGTTTATTAATTATTTATACAAGTGCAAACTCGATAAAAGTCTGGTTAAGTGAGGCCAGTAAATAATCGTTGTTCTTTTATATAAAAATAGGAAAAAAGTTTCCAATTGTAAACGTCTAAAATTGTAGGTTTTAGAATATTAATAAAAGTAGTACAGGAACAATGTTCCGACGGAGAAAAGCATTCTTCAAAAATTCATTCACCGTGCCGCAGTAATATGTTCGATAAAAATTCACGTTAAAAAGGACTTCCTTTGTCGCTTCATTTAATTTCCTATTTTATTGTCAATATTCGATCGCGAGCGCAAAGCCAACCCTTTCAGAGACAACGTCCTGTACTTAAATAAGGTAACGCGAATTTTTAGGTTCCGTTTCAAATATTCAACCGCGAGCTGAACATTTTATCTGACGTTGAGCACGGTAAAATATTCAAACCCGCGTTGTCTAAAAGTGGGTGACACCTGTTTCCGTTCGACGTCGTAAAAAAAAGAATAATGAAACAATTACTATAGAGGAGAATTCACGATTGTCCGATTTTTAGTGCCCGTGCTAAATTTTACCACCGAATAAAAGAAAAAAAATGCATGAGGAAATCTTAAAAGAAACCGAGTTCGGTCCAAGTACAGTACCGAGCAAAAATGTAAGACACTTTTTGGGTGATCATTTCTTAGAGGATGTTTCTGTCGTGTGTGATATACAACATGTGGGAAATGAATTCTACACAAGAAGACAATAACAAAAATTCATATTACCTTCATAATAGGTGTTCTGTTTAAAGTGTGTACATATCTTTACACTTTAGATTGAGTCTATGATTGATTTCTGTGTTTTGTACGATGGTGGAATAGAAGATTGTAATCGTGTGGGTGGGGTTCTGTGACTTGTTGTTAGATTCTTAGAAAAACGTCGATAGCCATTGCGATGTAACATCGCCACTGTCCCAAATTCACAAATTACCGTCTGATTTGCACGTGGTACGAAACTTTTGAACGGCTGTGTCCCGCTGAAACCTTCACGTGGCCGTCAATGTGTTATTCAGTCACGTGTGGCTATCGATCGTAATTCCCGCAGACGTCGATTCGAGACGACACGTACACCGTCCAAGTGCGAGTAAAATCGGGAGGAATCGAAATGGCACAAAATGGTAGGAACTGGATCCCGAATACGTTATAACCGTTATCGGATGTCATTAAGTCCGCCGGCGTCGGTGATGCAGTCGCATCACGTATGTAGTTCGTTTTGGTTGGTTCGAAGGCAGTAGAATCGAAAGGCCCACTTACCAGGTACCACTGTTCCTTGAAGAGCGGATCCGTGAACAGGTTCTGGAAGGGTATTCCTCTATTTCTTTGACGATGGTACGAGGCTTGTCGGGGTTGTGGGCCAAACTCGTCGAAAAACGATGGATAATCGCCGAACGCGTACGACGTGGGTGCGAAGTCCCTTTTCTTGCGCTTCTTCTCGTGCTGCTGCTGGAACCATCGCACCTGGAACAACAATAGTGTCTCTCTAAACAATAGACACTCGTATTTGTGACAAAATACGACTATACGCTCTTTAATCGTCTAACTGATGAGACATTACTATTTAACCCTTTTCACTCGGAGACTTTTCTTTGACCATCTACTGCTAACTCAACTACACTTTCATACGAAATATTTTTTTTTAAAACAGTAATATCGTTGTGTTCTCTTCAGAGGGGACAGCCGAGTGCAAAGCGTTAATGAGCGCCAAATCGAACTTAGTATTTCAGAAACTGTTAAATACCCGTGGCTGAAATTTTATATTCACCATTTATTCTTCCTCCCCTCCGAATCCTCGAAATTTCATGTCGATCGATCGCGGATGCCATTCGGAAGAACAGCCAAAAACGTAACCCGTTCGCGGTCACTTTTCGCGGCCGGATGGATCTTGGAACGATCCCTGTACGCGGGCGAGATCGGTCCGCGATTTATCGTGGAATATTCACGAGCGAATCGTCGACGAAACGAAAATTTCGCGAGTACGGATTTTCCCGTATGGCGCCTTGTAAATTGTGCCATCAACGAGAAACGTTTTCGCGGCCGGGCTTCGACTCGGCCGAGCGTGAAACGCGCGACGCCTCGGTCATCGTTTCATTCATATCGTCGAACAGACTCGACGTTAAAGCCTCACGGATGGGAAATTCACGGGCCTTGCACTCTGGCCAGCCTCCAAAATCCCTAGGCTCGTCCGCGTTCCGCGTCGATAAGTGTCACGGCCGTGCACGCCACGTGCGTCGCGACGCACGGTGCCGCGGATAACCGGAAAACGCGATAAAAAACCACGCTCGACGATTCCGCGTTTTTTCGTTCACCCTTTGCGGTACCGAGACATTTTTGTTATTTCATTTCTGCGGATGACAATTCCTCTATTCCCCGCTTATACGAGCGCACGAAAGTATTCGAACGACTATATTTATATAAATAAAATGCACATGGAATTAAAACGAACATCGCATCGAGGAGCTCGATAATTTCTTATTAGTTTAGCATCGTTAATGAATTGCTTCGAAAGAGTCTATTAGCGATTGGTTTCTAGAACACTGACACTTTTATTTTAAACAAAAATTCCTAGTGACTTTTTTATCATTCTCTGTGCTTTTACACGTATTCTCTGGCCTTTAGCTTCTTTTAGGGTATTTGTCGAAGAAACCTTTTGAGTCTAGTTTTATCGAAAGTTGAGGTGCTTTATCGCCGAGAAAAGACAGCAGCCTGGAAAGATGGGTCAAGCACAATATTATCTCCGAAAACAGGGTGATAGTCTTCCGTGTTTTTGCTTGCAGTGAAAGCTTCTATCGGAAGTCTCGAATGGTTACTTGACGAATACATTATTCGTTCCATGTACTAAATATTATTTATTATGTATATCGATCTTATCAAAATTCTAATCACAAATTAAATTACATAGTTGAAGCCACACATCAATATTTTTTATTACTATATTTAATTATAAGTTTTGCTGTGTAAAACATTAGTTTGTGCTAATTGACGAAACGTTGGCGTGTTTAAAACTCGACCAATGAACGTACATACACTTACGATAAAATCTCTGCAATCTAATCAGATTTACCGTCAAATAGCAAATCATTTAACGTCATTACACGCTTGACTTATAATAACTTCTGTCACGCGTTGGCAATTTGCGTGACACGCGCGCGCAACCCCTTTTAAATTAGATATTTCACTTAACGGGATGTAATTTTGTGGCAGTCAAACGCTTGTCGATCACTGGGACCGAGCACGCACATTCGCGGAAATTCTGCTTGTCAGAATGAATCATTGCTTCCTGAATATTTTATGATTATTGATCTGGGAAATGGTAAACTATAATAGAAGTTCGTTTCAATCGTTTTTTGTCAAATTTGCTTTACATTTTACGCAATTTTACACAACTGAAAACTCCTTCGTCAGAATTTCATTAATTCTTTAAAGTAGTTGTTGGTTCATAATTGGATTCTACAATAGTTAATTTGTATGTGACGCTTTGTACATACAAGAACAGTTGACAGGTGTTTGCAACGCAAGGCATTCAAATATCGCAACCTTGCTAATTAATAGTTTACTTTGTATTGCCAATTAATATTGTTTCCTTGCTTTTAACGTACAAATGATTATTACACGTGTGTGCAAATTTCGTTTAGACTACGATAGAATTTCAATTTTAACAAAAATGATACCTAACGTGGAAAGCATACAAATCAAGTTCAGTCTTCAGAAAGATCTTTTAAATATAAAAAATGTAGAGTTACGCGTCTAATATTTTTGTCCACCAGTGTGTAATTGTTCACGGTGTCGTGCTCTTGTTGAATTACACCAGCACACGTACGACATTATGTAACTGCGTGAGTTCGTCGTTTGTTTCAAGAAGCACCGGTGCCATTATTCGTGAACGGTAGAAAATTAGAATGCCAAGTAAACAATGCGCGTTGCACCATAACAGACACCGTGAAATTACGTGGCTTCTGTGTTTTGCACCTGTGCCTGGGCTTTGCATTTGCCGTTAGAGTTTGATGAGCGCGCCTTAACCCTCAGACACCGAAGATGGAATCACTTACCCGCGGTTCATCCCTTAGCGTCTTATGGTGCGATTCGCTGGTGGAGAGGGATCTCTTGTGAAGTCGTTTGTCAGCAAACAGGAAGTACTCCTTCAGTGCTCCAATCTGCAAATAAACAGAAGCTCCTGTTAATTTCTTGCTTTCCACGTGCGCCAATTTTTGAACAGTATTATCGTAACGCCGCTACAATTTTACTTGGACGGTTCGAGACGTTTATATATAATTGAAATATTAATGTTCCATATTTAAAAACACTTGCAAGAGTATCTACTACAATTATGGTTATTGTACCACGGACTTTTTAAAAAGAAAAGAAAGTTCGAAATTTACCGTTTGCAAATACACAGAGCAGATTATATTTATTTTTGCCTTTCGTTTCCAATCGAACATCGAATATATGTTTTGCCGACGCGTTAAAATATTTCTAATATTCCGTTCTTCTTGAGCGTTCTTCCGCGCGCGTATCGCCGCTTGCATTATTTGCGAATGCATTTCAAATGTTTCCCGCGATTCCGTACCAATTAATGCCAGACTGCAAACCCGGTAATTTTCCACGCGAGAGACATTTGAATATTTTAATAGCCGGATAGTAATTCGGCGAATCGAAACAATTTCGAATTATATTGCGACGTTGACGGCATCGCTGTCACCTCATTAATTCTGAATCGACTTTAAAGAAGCTTTCGAGACAACTGTCGAAAATTCACGCTGCTCGATGAAACGTCGATAATTTGTGCAAATTTCACGAGCGTCGATTTGTGGAAATTCCTTCTACGTTTGATTTTTGGTTGTTTAACATAAAACGACAGCAGAAGCATCGGAAAGAAATATTTTAGAAATTTTCCCTGTTCGACGGGGGAAGTTTTTTTTGGGCGAGAAACGACTCCAAAATACGTTCAAATTGAAGACATACAAAGATATTTACCGAGACTTCCCGATGCGAAAACTGTTCCGCTTCTTAGATGGAATATCGTACAAATATTTGCAAGGGAAGTTTACTTTCGGAGACATCTGATAAATCTTGCTAGTTCCCCTTCGAAGCAATATTCTATCAGTTATGAAATACTTGAGCAGTTAGATTTATGGATGACCGTAAGGAAGTGTTCGTGGAATATTCTCCGCGGCTTTGTAATTCTGTTACACTCTACCAGTGAATTATTTGCCAATAAAGTTGTCGATATTTGTCGACGACCCTCCAAAAATGATCGCGCAAAGAAGATAATGTTCGTTCACCTGAACGAGGTCTTCGTAGAAACAAACAGTCGTTGAGTTTAAATTTAATAAATCGTGGAGGTGAAAGTTTCGAGGTAATTATTCCCAAACACGGTTAAGTTTCGTATCAAGGGATTTTAAAAAATTTACCATACGTGTTTACTTTGTTTCCTTTTAATATTTTCGCAAATTAAACACCTCAGTCTGCATCTTTCTGTAGAAACTGTACGCTCCGTAATGTGTTAACAAGAAAAATAATAGAAAAATACGTAACAAAATTTTAAAGAGCCAGGAAAATAACGAGCGTGCATAAAAATATAAAAATTGTGAAAAAAGTCAGAGAAACGTGTAATTTAGTTTCAAGAGTCAAAAACTATTTCTCGCGTTACGTTTTTTCACGCGTGTAATAAAACTAACTGAAATTACACTCCTGTTCGTTTAAATTTTGCCTCGCGATACAGTAGGCTGCACGTCCACTTCTTGTTTACCCTGTTACCATTCCGTAGCATTAAATTCGTCGTCGGGTGCGTGGTAAGTAAGTATGTACAACAGTACATATTAATCCAGCGGAGATTAGAAGCCCAGGCAAAATCAATTGGCCGCTCAAGGCAACCGAAGGACTATCCCCGCCATAACATTTACCCAATGTTACCTAAATCCGCGCAAATATGTCTCAAAGCGTAGATGGGGGACAAAGCCTCTTAAGTGGTTCCAGCTATAAACAGCACTGTCTTAAACCAAACATCTATTTTCCTAAACCAGAAACGTAATAGAGATATGTTGCTGAAATCGTTAAACCTGGTTTGTTGAGTGTCGGTACCGCGAAGATGAAGCTGATGCGATTACCAACGCTGTGGTATAATGTGAGATGTTGCGGCCATGCATTGTCCTAAATTAATGCGATAGACCTGCGTCGGGAAGATAGAGATATGTTAGGCGCGAGTAGAAGGAGGAATAATCTAGATGTACGGTTTTCAACTCTACGTTACGAAAATTACAACATAATTAACAATAAACGTCCAACAATACCATCGTGCCACTGAATTTTGGTGTTTGAATCGTGCATGCTCGACTAACTTAAAATTTATCCAAATGTCTAACAAAAATGTCAACTCTTTTACCTTTCTCGTTATTTTTCTCGTTATCAGATTACAAACTGTTATCGTTCGTTTAGGTTCGTTGGAAATCCTTTTCTCGCTCGATACGTAATATTTTCAAGTCTCTATTTGATAAGAAAATAGATCTGGAAGTAATAACCTTTTGCTACCTTTGAGAAAATGCAGAAGAAACGAGATTCTTATTACATCGCTGTAATTTTGCTATGTATTGGTTCAACCTACAATCGTTTGGAGCGTCGTCATAATCGTTACTGTAAGCCCGGAAAATGGCGGAGGGTCGGTCGAGGAAGCAGGAAGAAAAATGGAAAACGAGGGAAAAGATAAGGGCGCGGAAAAGGCAGGAAAGGAAAAGGAAAGAATTTGAATTTCCCTTATCTTGCGATTTTTACAGACTTTGATAGGGCACGTTTCGCTGGTAATGCTACGATATAGTTTCAATTCCGGAAGATTCGTTGGCACGTTTCCGTGTATCGCAGATAATTTTTACATCCAACCTTCGATGCTTTCTCATCATGAGAGATTTTTGAAATACGTTATTTGAACAATAATCTATTTCGAAATGCACTTAATGAATCATAATAAATTTTCAACGACACGTAGATCGCGAAAGCGTTCGTCGCGTTCCTCAATGGATCCTAATGGTACGTTTGAGGGATCTCGAGGTTTGTTTGCGACTTTCTTAAGTAGCAAAATAGGGAATATCATATGGAATAGTACTTTAAAAGGTATATCCATTCTCTTTTCCGCTAGTGGTTCGAGAACTCAATATTATTGACTACGGAACAAAAGACAACAATGAAAATGTCTTGTATCAACATTCGTATTCCTCGACAAGTGTCTATCCTATTTGAAACGTAGTTGGTCGAGGACATTCCTCTTTACTTCCGGGTTCGAGTGCTTCCTTTGTAGCGCGTCATATTTACTCGACCGGTAACATTCTAAGAACCGAAGATCGTATTGGGAACCAATAAAAAGTTTTATAAATATCTAGTCCAATTTTCGAGGAGGCTTGACTCTAAAATATTCGGTGAGCCGCGAAAAAATCGAGCATTTTGGCCAAAATAAATGATAACTTTGAATAATAGGTTCACTCATTACGCGTGGGATAATATTAACTGTTTTATATCGAAAATATGCATCTTGCAATAGATCTAGTAAATCCAGAAAAATTCTGTTCCCTGATATAGGGAAACTGGTGCATACTGTAAATGTTTCGTGATTTGCAGATATTTCTAAACATTTAAATCGGATCTACGGATTCGTTAGAGCTCGGTAACTAACATGTTGGTCGTTTACCTCGGCTATGGATTACAGCTTCATTCTCTTTGTTCCTCAAACTAACAATGCAGTCGGAATTATTGATTATTCGTTAGCTTGATTGTCCGAGCCCGATATCCTCTCTCCTAATTCATTTTCAGATTTCCTTCTGCTGAATATTATATAATTCCGAATAAATAAGTTCTCCAACGTTTAGAGAGACCATTTACCGTTTACTGTAACCGGGAATTTACCAGATTGTCAAATTTAACAAGAAAATCATTCAATATTTATTTCTTTGCAATAGTTGAAACTCGAACAAAGCAACTTCTTTAACACTAGAAATATTTTCACAAATTCAATAAAAATTGATTGAATTCACCACAGAAATATAATCACAGTTAATATAGTAACAGTTGGAATTTTTTCGTAATAGCTGTTCGAACTTAGATATATGTATAACAGTTCAGAACCAATTATTTTCGTAACCGTTTGGACCGTTTCGCTGTTTAGAAACGAACGAGATACTTTTATTCTTTATTTGCGAATAAAATTTGCCCGACCCTGTTCTTGCGGTCGGAGTTTAACCGGCCTGGCTTAGAGCGGTTTCGATGGGACTTGGCTAGTTACGGGGTCGAAGTCGTTACACGTTTTTGCACGACCGGATCGATTCGGTGGCGGGCTCGAAGTAAAAAGCTAACCCAATATACCGTGGCCGTTGCAAGTTGCCGGCTTGATTTCCCAACGTGCACGGGAATCCGTTTCACGAGTGAACGCAGCCTCTGACAAAACGCCGATATTGTTTACGCTTCGACACGTTGATTTAAGGCACTTCGGGTACGCGGGGCTCTCCTCGAATCTTCGAATCTCGGTGGCTTTTCGGCAACGACCATCCACGCCTCGACGACCAGGTAATCTCGGACGGATATTCGCGCTGGAGGAAGACGTCCGTCGAAAGAACGGAACGGGGACAATAAAAGCGGGGGAAATAAAAGACGGACGAAGGACGCGGTATAAAGCGACCGGGGGAAAATTGTAGAAAACGAAAAGAGCCGGGCAGAGAGTAAAAGAGAAGCTTATAATTTCGACGATATACAGTTCCTCTCGCCGAGTGTTCCCGTCGGTTTTAAAAGAAACTTTTCGCGACAAATTCTCGGGAAGTCAGGGACGGCACAAATTGGGCAAATTTTATTCGCGAACAACGAATAAATGTTTTAGATTCTTCCGTCGACTGGCTTCTGCTGGTTCACATTTAAAATAAAACGTAAATGGAACAGCAGAATTTGGCAAATTTTATTTGAATATATATGTTTAAGTTTGACCAAAACGTTCGAAATATATTTGTGTTGTACCATTGGTAACTCGAAAGCATGACATAAAAGATCACATAAAAATAGTCCACAGAAAGAAAGTTCAATCCCCTCCAATTCTAAAATATTCCCTTTAGTTTAAAAAATTTAAAAAATTTTTCTATTCACTTTTTCTATTCAGCGTCGAAACCACGCAAGACCTGCTTTC